ATCGCATCAGGCTATTGGAGACTTGAGTTAATTCTTGTATAGTACTTAGCCCAGGGGCTGGCACGCAGTGAGTGTCCTGAGTACCCCGATGGTATTCCTCCAAAGCAAGAGGGACTGAGTGAGACGGTGGGTGGGAAGAGGAGGGGGAGGGCCATGCAGAGCCTGGGAGCTTGGGAGGGATGTGAACTGTAAGGCTAGCAAGGGAGGGGAGGAGTCTGGAGTGAGCATGTCCACCAGTCCCCACCTGCAGAGAAAGGCTCAAAGTAGGGAGAACTTTCTAGAATACAACTCCTACACTTCCAGAGAGGACCTGGGGAGTCTGGGCTCTGAAAGGGACAGAGCTGGGCTGCATCCAGCATACCCTTGCGTCCTACCTACCCAGTTGCCCAAACTGTCAGCACCAAGGGGCCTCTCCCTCCCAGCAGAAACCGGGAGGAAGCCACTGGCGGGGGAGGCACCCCGAGGTGGCAGAGCGGCGGGCACTCGGCCAGCACAGAACTGATCACTGAGAAGTCAGGGCACACAAGCATTTTTTTAAAAACCTTGCTCACCGTCTGATGAAAATGCTACATTACTTGCCCGAAATAGCCTTGGTTTGGAATTTGTTCAGGACCCTCCATTCAGGATGGAGTTCTTTTCCAAGTCCCTTGCTACCGGCTGCCCTCCTGAACATGGACATTTGTCATGCGAATATGGAACGCAGAGTCTTGGGCTAAATGGTTCCCAATAAGCAGCTGCATCGCACACGGCGGGCTGGGTGGGAGCGGGTCTCTCCTGCCTGCGTCCTTGCGGCCCATCAGCCCACGGTGGTGAGCACATTTGCAGACGGAGGGGCAGCCCCTCGGTCCCGACTCACTGGTGTGCAGCTGGAATCTGGATGTGTTGGCTGGAGAACCAGAATGGGTAAGACGACAGGAGAGAAACAGCTACTAAAAGCCAGGGAATGAGGGTGGCATATACGAAAGGGGGCAGACCCCGGGATGAAAAGGAGCAGAACTCGGGCCGAAAAGAAGGAGCGGAACTCGGGCCGGAGCGGGTCTCCTCCACGCGGTGGCGGGGAGCGGCGGGGAGCGGCGGGGAGCAGGGGGTGGTCTTGGGCGGCAGGCCGACTTGGCATCCAGACTGGCTCTGCCCGGCGCTAGCTGTGTGGTCTGCCTTGGATTTCTTGAGCCTTGGATTCCTTATTTGTAGAATGGAATTACGAGTACCTACCTCCCAAGGTCATTGTAGAACTCCAATGAGCTCACGCTCATAAACTGCCTGGCACCTGGGCCCTGGCGTGGGGCAGGGGCCACCAAAAACAGCGGTCCCCTCCCGCTCCAGTTGTGTGCGTGCGTTTGTTCGTGGACAGTTAAGTAAAAAGTCCTGAAAGAGATGCACCCTGTGTCAGAAGAGGGTGGGACAGCTTTCACCCCTGCTGGGGTCGGCGCAGGGGACCTCTGACTCACTTGCATGAATTTGGGGTGCCAGACATGCAGAGATTGGGAGGGGGCGGACATTCTACACAGAGAAAAGGCTGAGTCAGGGACCTGGCGTAGCAACAGCAGGCAGTGATGGGACTGGACAGCAGTGAGTGGACACACCAGGGTCCGCGATGATGCCACAGAGAGGCCTGAGCCCGGCAGGCCTCGCCAGCCAGGGCACAACTTAGCATTTCTAGTCCAGCTCCCATTAAGAAGCCATTCGCAGGTTTTGAGCGTGGGAGTGATCGACTTGGGTTTTGAAGGAGCCGGTCCAACTGCTGTAGAAAGCTGAGGGCAGAACCATCAGGAGGGAAAGAGGAAGTCAGGGGCCGCGACACCAAGCCAGTCAGAAGCGGGTGGTGGTGGCCGTGCTGGAGATGACACGGACGGCTTTGGGTTTAAGGTGAAGGCAGAGCGGACAAGGTTTGAGGAGAACCTGAGAAGGGACTGATGTCCCACTGCAGGGGTGCTCAGGAAGACCGATGCAGGGAATGACAAAAGGAGGGTGCCCCAGTCTGCTGGGGAGACAGCTATGACAGTGTGGGGACAGCACATGGTCTCTGGTCACAGGGAGGGGACAGTCGGGAATGGGAACCAGATAGCAGGGTCCAGTGCAGCTGCTTAGAGGAAATTAAGCATGAACTGAGTTCTGACGATGAACAAGGTTTGGCAGGAGGTGACAGAGGAGGGGGTAGAAGCCGGCAAGCAGCCCAGGAGCAGAGCTCTGGCTCAAGGACCTGAAGTGGCAAGAGCAGTGGGCTGGCTGCGGTCAGGACTCTCAGAGACAGAGCAGTTCACAGTGGCCAGCAGGGGCAGCTCACAGGGGGCCTGGGGCCCAGACCAGGAAGCTTACAGTTAGGACCAGTTACTGGGAGCAGCAGAGGGACGTCTGGGCTTTGCGGCTCAGGATGGTCCCTCTGGCTGCCACACGAGTGGAAGGGAGGGGTGGCTGGACCCAGGAGAAGCCTGTGCATCCTTGGCTGAGGTGGAGCAGAGAACCCAGCTGCCAGGCTGCTTGGTCAGCAGTGCGCCTCTACCCCTGTTCTGGTCCCTAACCTGTCCCACCAGCTTCATCTATAGGCTCTGCAACCAAGGGGGGTCCGCTGAGCACAAAGGAATAAGGGCTGACTGAGCCTTTGCTGGGTTTCTGGGTCCGGGTGAAGTGCTGGGGCCAGGCAGGCCATCTGTGGGAATCTGCCGCCCCCTGCTGGACGGTTCCAGAACCACATGCACGCGGGCCCCTCTGGGGTGGCTGGCGTCAGGATGCCCAACACTGTCCTCTTGACAATGATGGGTGCCAGCCCACCACGTGTCACCTCAGTGGCCTCACTCACCCCACCACGGCCTCACAAGGGGCTCTCTGAACCACAACTCTGGAGACCCCAAAGGCTGACAGGTTCTCACCCAGGTCCAACCCGTCCCAGACCAGCACCTCCCTGTCCCTCCAACAATCTTCTGGATCTTTGTCCCAGGCAGCGAACATCTCACCTGACATTACATCCCCTCCTTAGCTGGTCTGGAGTCTGCGTCCATCCCTTGGCTAAGAGGGCAGAGCCTCATGCTGGTTCAGTGTGTCCCCAGCTCTTGGAACGGGACCCAACCACAGCAGAGACTTGAGATCTTGGTCAAGGAGAAACGTGCTCTGCTGTAACTGGTCCCAGCTGTACTTCTGCCATCCTGGGAGCTCTCTGAAGGTTCAGGATGGGCCTCCCTCCTGGGGTTGAATCCCCACCCCCCCCAGAGCAAGCCTGTTCCTGGGGCCCTCGGGCCCCAGGGGTCTCTCTGGCTCTGGGCTGAGGGCTGCTGGGGCACAGTGCTACTAAGCGGGCTGGCGTTCCAGGCCACCTCGTCCAGTCCCCCACCCCCCTCAGGCCCGGCCTGAGGAGCACTGCAGCCCCTAGGGTGTAGAAGCCTTTCCCTTTCAGGTTTGAGCTCTCACTTAAAAACCGCATTAATGCTAGAAGCTGCCTCCTCTGTTTGCAAAGGACAAGGCCAGCTGCCTAAGCACACACAGGGAAGCACTGGAAGGGGACTTTGCTGCTCAGTCCCTTCAGACAGACCACACTGCCTCCCGAAGGCCACCGCAGTTGCCTGTGGTCATTGAGAACTGAACTTTGTTAACAGCAGCTCCCTCGCGGGTCACAAAAGAAACAAAGATACCATGTGGGAACCCTCCCTGGGCAGCTGGCCCTGAGTAGTTGATGGTATTCTGTCTTTGAAATGAGCAGCCCAAGGGTCCCAGACTTGTCCGTGTTCCCACACTATGCCAGGTCACATGACCACAGAGCTGCGCAGGAAATCCCGGTGTCCGGCCTGGTGCAGGGTCCCCCGGCTGCCCAGGTTTCTAGGGGATAAAGGCCGGCCCAGGGCTTCGTTAGGACAAACCTGGCCCGGCTCCTTTAAGAGCCACAGGTTGGAACCCGAAGACCAGACTGGTCTGGCAAACGGCAGAGCCCTGTGTTTCAATAAGTGACCTTTATGTTGGCACTAATTGAGGACTTGCCTTGATGACAGACGTGCGCGGCCCCGCCAGGCAGGAGGGAGGAGGGGGCCTGGGCTTGCTGCTTCCAGTAAAAGGCAGGCGTTTTGGCAGGAGGCAGCTGAGGTTCGTTGCTATTGTAAAGCGTCATAAACTGATTATTGCAGCACTTGTTCCTAAAGTTTCCCCCAGTCGTTCCAGCTGAGTGGTGAATTACAAAACGGCTGAGAGTTTATCAGCAGGAAGAACCCTCAACGCTTGCTTCTTCCCGTCTCTGTCTTAAAGAGAACTACGTGCAGTAACAACCCCAGGCTCGCCTCTGAGCACCCACGGGCCAGACTGGGCGAGGCCCCTGCGGCCAGGCCACACCGAGAATTAAGAGTGTGAGTTTGGTTTCAGAGTCCCTGAAGTATCAGAAAAACCCCTCGGGCCCAGCAGACCGCTGGTGCTGCTGCTGGTGCTGCTGCTGGTGCTGCTGCTGCTGTGCAGACGGGCTCTCGTCCGCGGCCTGGGCCACCCTTCCTCAGTCTGGGCCTCGCCGGAGCAGGGCCTGCCACGGTGCCAAATTGCTCGAGTTAACATTTGTGTCAGTGTTTCCATTATAAAATGCTTTTTCCCCCTTCAAGAATATGTAACCCAACTGTTAAATTACCCTCAAGGCCGCAGGCTGGCAGACATGTTGTTTTTATTTCCTACAGAGGGTGGGGGCTGCAGGACCCCGATGCAGAGGGCACAGGTCTTCCGAGGCACCTTCCGGGGCACCTGCAGCCTGCAGGGCCATCTCAGCAGGTGCGGGGACACAGGCCGTGGACTGGAGCTGCCCCCAGGGACTGCTAGCCTCAGCAGTAGCTAGCTGCTCAGGGAAAACCTTCGGCCCCTGTGGCGTGAGGTCCTGGACCCAACGGCTGGCGCTGCGCAAAGGAACATGCCCAACTTGAAAGGCTCCGTCTCACCGGCTGTCGAACGGTCCACATGACCCAGAGACCCAGGGAGGGGGACGAGGCGCGGCCAGTCAGTCCGCACCGATGCAACCCAACATGTTCGCCCGATTCTACAAATCCTTAGTAACACCTTTTAATATCCAAGAATCCAAAGTACAGCAGTTTTACAATGTAGGAAAATTTAATACATACTATATAAACAACATTATTTACATCAGAAATCACTAGGACAGTGGCATTTTTCACAAATATAAATTAATTACTGTTTAGTCAACAGATTTTAAAAGTCCACAATTTTACAATAAAGAAAAACCGTCTGCCCCCGCACGAGGGAGGTGCAGACGGACTAAAGCAGCCTGGACCTTTGGCCTGGCTCCCCTCGCCCGCACGGCAGCCCCCGGGCAAGCCAGGTAGCCCCCGAGGCAGGCCCCGGGCCCGCTCCTGCTGACGGGCGCATTTTGGTCTGTAGGATCGCAGGGTCCGTGTGGGTTCGTAGCTGAACTGCGTGTGCACCGTGCGTCCCGATGCGGCGTCCAGTCGCCAGGCTAGAATGTCTGCAGCATGAAGTGAGAAGTGTTCTGGTTTCCCGGGAAGGGCGCAGGGAATGACTAGGAGGGGAGGGGGCCCGGGGCCCTCGGGTGGGCTCTGCGGAGAGCCCGGCTGTTTCCGGCCATCTCTGAAAGACAGCCATGCTGGGTCTGGGGGTCGAGTGCCCTTTTCCAGGGTGACAGTAGCTGTGTCAATCCTTGTTTATCCTCGGGTTTCAGGTGAGGCTAATTCCCCTCTTCCTCAATCCCGCTCGCTCTACCCCACTGTGAAATCTTTCCCAGTTGGGCTCCATGGAAGACCATCTTCCGAGATTCCCGGGGCAGCTGCTCCCATCCACAAACGAGAGCGTCCACCTGTGCAAATGTCCGTGTTTGATCTAAGCATACAGTATTCACACTGACTGATGTCAGCGAGGAAACGCCTCCCTTCTCCAGCGCACTCTCCAAACACACTTCAACACCTACAACAGATGCTTTTATAGGGATACTGCAATGTTAGAATCAACTTAACACTGATCTGGCTGATACTGCCTTTTGCTCTATTATATGGCACTCAAGGTCCTGTATGCAAACAAAAGGAACTTCCTCCTTCCTCATGATGACAGATCTTTGGGAATAACTCTCATCTCTTATCAACAACAAAAAGCATTGATGAGTACTGAAGTGCAGGGTCTCATAACTCCTTCTGGCCTCTTCATAGTGAAAGAAAACGGGGAGCCTGGAGGAGCCCCCAGGAGGGCGTGACCTGACTTCCCACAGGGGAAGACCTGGGGCTCAGCCCCACCCAGATCTCCAGGATCCGGCAAGCGCACTTCACCTTCCTTCTTCCCCGGGCGGCTCGAACATGGGGTAGTGTTAGCAACGCCAGCAAGAAGCTGACCTTATGACCGCCAAAGCAGAGGCCTGATCTCCTACCTTCTCCCACGGGGCAGTCACAGCATGTCCCCAGCAGGTGATCCTAGCCAGGGCCCCCTATGCTGCTCCTTGAGCTCCATCTCAGGGCATGCGTGGTACACGTGGAGGGTGAAGAACCCCACGTCCATGGGAGGTAAATGAGGAGGTGGTGGGCCCCATGGACTCCCAGCCAGGGCCGTGAGGGCCCAGACCTGCTCTGGGGCTCCATGCTGGCCGGCCTTGGGGTGTTCTGTGAGGTGGGAAGCGATGGCCACCGAAGCGGCACCCGCTTCCCCAGCAGGATGCAACCAGGGGGCTGTTAGTAAAGGCATCAGTGGTGTTGCCCAGGACACCAGCAAGTAAGTGATGATGATCGTATGAAGCACCCCCAGGTTTGTGCGGGGAGTTTAATGCCATGTATGCCCAGTGGAAGGCTTTCCCCCAGCTCCAAGCCTGGATGCGAACAGCAACACTGCATGTTCAAGTCAGTCACTCTGTCTCCATCCAGAGGCGCCTCTGGGTGTGCCAACAACCCTGGCACGCTCTCTATAAAATGAATGAAGGCCCCAGCATCGGGAAATGGAAGGAGCCCGCTCAATGGGTGTGGCCACCTTGCCCCCAGTCCTGACTCACTCACTGTCTGCACCTTGTCCTTGGAGGCTTCCTATCTTGGGAAAAAAGTTTACCTTGGGTCTACATGTGAGTCGATGTTGTTCTAGAAGAGACTGAGTTCAGTTCTAACAATAACAGTGGAAGCCTGTTCACCACAGGTAACAACTTACTTTTCACCTGTCCACCCCCAACGAGTGTCAGGAAAGAAATAAGACTCTTGTCGTCTCCTTCTTTGCGCTGTGTAAAGGGGACTCAACTGCCACCAGCAAACGCTGACCTAGCACAACACTGAACGCTCCCCCCACCTCCCGGCACTACCCTCCCACCTAAGCACCCCAGCTTGGTACCTGCTGGCACCACGCACGTCAGCAGGCTGCCTCTGCTTCCCCCTCCTCTCCAGGCCCTGGAGTTTTACTTCTCTTCACAGGAATCAGAAACCCACCAGGGATTCCAGTTTCCAGCCATACCCCGCCCCCCCAAACCAAGTCAGACCCCCGCTGACTTCCACCTGACTCAGCAGTACCCAAAAGTCAGCCACACAAACCCAACTCTCCCCGGCCCAGGAGGCCCATTCAGAAGGACTACACCTTTGAAATGTACAGACAGTGTGGGAAAAATTAGTGTTTGTAGGGAAGGGCCATTGTGCAGCTGTTCCCCTTCCTCCCCCACCCCCACCCCCTGCAACACAGGTGTCACACAATGAGGCCCAAGAGTATCACTTTTCCCAAGAACACATTTGAGGGGTATACCTGCTCCCCCCTTCAAGTTCTGTGATGCAAGACCCCACCCACTCATCCCCACACCCCATCAGCAGCATCGTCACGTCACCGTGAACCAAATCTCGCCCTGTCCACCGTCCAGCAGGTCCCGGCAGCCTTCATGCACACATTCCTTCCCTGACCACCGCACCCAGGTCCTGGGCACAGTGACCCCGGCAATGAAACATTCACGACTGAGGTCCCTTCTTCCTTCACTGGGGAAGCACAGCCCGTGAAGCTGGGAACGGGGACATAAAAGTCACCTCTTCCTCCTAGCACCCTTTGAAGTGGGAGGCCAGAACCAGGCTGGAGCAGGATGGGGTGCCAGGGTGCAGGAGTGGAGACCAAACCAAAGCTGGACCCGACCAAAGCCCCCCACTCCCGGAAGCGCCCCTCAGCTGATGAGCTGACAGCAGCAGCATGTCCAGAAACACCACTTACTGGTCTAGATAACCGGCTCCTGTTGGATCAGACCAAAAATATCCAGGTGCTTAATGACTCGTGCTCTCCTGTTTTCCGAGCTGTCCTCTATGTTTTCCGGACATTCCAGTTATAGTCTGGGTTGTTTTTCTGTTCTAGTGATCTCTCCAAAGGAGACCTATGATCCAGGGGTGACTTGGAGTCGTGAGGGGATTTCTGAGACGGGGGCGAGCGAGGATCCGAGACTGCAGGGTGCAGCGGGGGCAGGGGCTGCTTGTAATCCCCCAGTTTGTCTGTGTGGAAAGAGCGGTAATGGTCCGAGGGTCCCTGGCCGTGGTAGCCCATCGTGGGGCGGTGGTCGGACATTCGTCGGAAATCCTGCTGGTGGTAATTTTGCGGCCTGAATTCATCAGATCGCCGCCGCTTGGAGTCATGGTGGTGCCTGAAATGGAGATGCAAGGATTAGCAGGAAGGTCACAGCCACACTCCCACCCCCCTTCTTCATTGTCCAGCGGTCCTCTCGTGTGCTCAAATTCAAGGACACTTCCACAGGACTCATAGCAAGTGCTTACATTACTAGGAATCAAAACCAAAACAAAATTACAAAAGGCTATTTTATACTTATTGGCAAAACACGTCCTTTGAAATGACATAAGCCCCATCAAAGCTGCAATGGAACAAGCACACACTGGAATCACTGATGCCCTGGGACACTCACACTCCCTGCAGAACTAGCAACATCTGCACACACTTTCACAGTCCTTGACCCAGCCCCGGAGAAAGAGAGCTGCAGAAATTGTTCCCTAACTTACTAGCAAGAGCAAAAGCCACAACTGACCTAAATATTTAATAGTAGGCGAAGGGTTAATTATTTTAAAAAATTGGCTCAATGCAAAGAATGTTCAATCTTTTACTTAGGGCCATGGGAAACTGCTTGTTGTCCTAGTAAAAGAAAACTGCTACAAGTCACTGACAAGACAAACAATCCAATTCAAAACTGGGCGAAGACTTCAGTAAACAGCTTTCCAAGGAAGGTATACAGATGGCCACTGAGCACATGGAGAGATGCTGGACATCCTGAATGAACATTCACCGCTAGAAAGAGATGAAGATCCAACCGCAATGAGATACCCCTTCACACTCAGTAGGACGGCTACATTAGTAAAACCAGGAAATTAGTGTTGGCAAAGACGTGGGAAAACTGCAACTCTCTACGTCGCTGGTAGGAATGTAACACGGTTCAGCCTCTGTGGAAAAAAGTTAGGTGGTTCCTGAAAAGTTAAACACACGAGCACTGTACGACTAACAGTCCCACCCCTAGGCTTGCAGCAGCACTCTGCACAACAGCCAAAAGGCACCAACCACCCAGATGCCCACCAATGGGTGAATGGAGAAATAAAAGGCAGCATATACGTACACAAAAGAATATTCTTCAGCCATAAAAAGAAATGAAGTCACATGTACGCTACAGTGTGGATGGGCCTTTAAAACGTCATGCCAAGTATTCAAAGAAGGCAGTCCCCAGAGGTGAGTTTTTTTGTGATTCCATTTATGCAAAATATGCAGAATGAATTAGTCCACAAAAACATTACACACTGGGAATTGCTGGGAGCTGGGGACAAGGCAGAATGGGGAGTGACTGCTAATGGCCACAGGGTTCTCTCTGGGCGATGAAAGGGTTTTGAACTTGACAAAGGTGGTGGTTGTACAACACTGTGAATGTATTAAATGTCACTGGACAGTTCATTTTAAAATAATTAATTCGTGCTATGTGAATTTCACCTCAGTAAAAAGAGAGAAAGACAAAGATGGATGGTGACTTCAGGTCCCAGTCAAGACAGAGGAACAGAGACAAGGTTTACCCTCCTGCCTGAAACCACCCGAGACAAAACATACGCAATAGAGGTTTTCAGGACATCATGTCAGACGGACGCTACAAACAGCAGTGATTCCTGAGGGACGGGAAACTACTGACATGGGCCTGGCTAGCGGCCGGCACAGCCTGCAGAGTGTCCAGACCTCCGCACAGGGAAGGGGGACCCAGAACCCAGCGGACTTCCCGACCTGAGAGCCCGGGGCAGAAACAGAACCGGGGCAGCTGGAGTTCGCAGGATGGATGCCAAAGAGAGTTCTACACAGAGAGCAGTTCAGAGCTCTGCAGATGTGTTAACCTTCTGGGTGTCCTTCCTGGCTGCCTATCCTTGACCTGGGCCCATGATGCCTAATCCAGCTCCCTGCTGAGCTTGCTCCTCAGGGCCCAAATCAACAATCGCCAGCCTCACCTCCTCCTCAGCCCTCAAAAGACCTCAGACATCCCTACTACTAACCATCCGATCAGCACAGTGTCAGCTGCCTACATCACGATTCCTCCACAACACAGCGAAGATGCCGCGACGGCCAAGCGTTTGCTCAAACTTGGACCCTGTCTGGGCACATGCTGAGACGAATGCATTATCCGCTCACTGCATCTGACAACTACACTAATGCATCTGCCGCTGGTCTCTTCCCCACAACAGACAGCTCCTGGTGCCCCAGGGCCTGCCGCACACCTGTCATAGTAGTCTCTGTGCCCCCGGTGGTCTCGATCGCTGCTGTACTGGTCATAGGGTCTCTTTCTGGACAGGTTGTTGGGTCGGTAGCTCCCAGACCGGTGGCTGTCCATGTGTCGCCGGTCCCCATAATGGTGGTCCTTGTACCAGTGCTGCTCGTACTGATGGTGCCTGTCACTTCCCCACGGCGGGTTGTTGTTGCCACCACCGTAGTTGAACTTCCTTTCCCTCTGCCAGTCCCCTCGATCTGTGGGAGGAGAAAGAGCGGTCACCTCGTGGCTGGAAGGATCGACTGCGTTCCACTTCCACTGAAGTTTAAACTGAAAGGCTAGCATGTGTTATAGACAGACATTAAATTTCCTCCTTTTTGGTCTTCTCGCTGCTGGTAATATACCACTAATGAGTCCTGAGAGTCTTTCCCCCACATTTTAAGGCAAAAGAAAATTCATTACCTTTCTCCTTCTGAAATCTTAATAGTTACTGTGTTTTATTTTCTACCTGTTTACACCTTCCAAACTGGGGGTAGACCATTAAAATGAGATGCCACTCAAAAAGCTGAACACTAATTCAGAAAACAGCACTACAGAAATTCACAGGTGCAAGGTAATAACCTCTATTTACACATCTGAAGTTTCTTTACCTGCTAGTACCATAAGCTAGTGCCTGGTCTCTGAAAATTATTCCAAACTATACTCACTGGTTCTGTTATTCTTCCCTTGCACATACCTAAAAAAAAAAAAAAAAAAAAAGGAGGGTAGAAATGCTCCCTCCAACTTTGGAACTGGGTGAGCACTCAAACTCTCACGGGGAGAGGCTAAAGTAAAATTTGTTTTAGCTTCTTCAGCCTCCATGTCCCCCTGCAGAGAAGAATCATGCTTATTTCAATCAAAAAAAGTAGTGAAGACACAGAAGTCCAGGAATGGAGGCTATAGTGAGGTGTCCACTCAGAACCCATGGATTCAGGGCCCTCGAGCCAATGAGACATGCTTTTGAGAGAAAGGCCCAGGGACACCTGAGACAGAGACACGCGGAAGGACGCCACGCGGATTTGGAGTCAGAGACTAGAGCGACGCGGCCCTGAGTCCAGAACGCCCAGAGTGGCTGGCAGCCGCTATGGGCCCGGACAGAGGCAGGGAACACATCCCCCGCTCAGTTCCTCCGGAAGGAACCAACCTGGTGACATCCTGATTTCGGATTCTGGCCCGCAGACTAGGGGAGAATGAATTTCTGTTGTTTTAAGTCACCGGTGTGTGGTAGTTTGTTACAGCGGCCTTCGGAAAGCAGCACAGAAACTGACCCAGAAGGAACTATGTGGGCTCACAGGGAATCCAATCTTCTCTCTACAACGATGTGAAGACCACAGACATGCCACCAAATAAACGTCTCCACTCATTCTGCTGGTCTCCTAGCATTTTTCTACAGAACCAAAGAATAACACCATCAAGGAAACTATGCAGCTTAGACATTTACACCATTAAAACCATGTACGGTCAGCCAGTGGCCTAAACTCACTGCTGATCCAGGGAGGATCGGGTCAGAGGACCAAGAAGTAAGAAGCTGGGACACTTCTCCCTAAGAATTGACAAACAACAACAAAATGAGACACCTCCACAATGTGAAAGGAGCACTTGAAGGCGGTTCAAACCAAACGGAAAGTCCGATTTCAAACGGGGTGTCAAGGCCTGTGGTGGAGCGCAGATGCTCGGAGCCCCGGCCAAGTCGCACTGCCTTCCCGAGAAGCCACACAGTGCTGCTCTTTCTTCTGGAGCCCTCTGCGAGGGAGGTCACCGGTTAGGAGCACCGAGCTATTAAGGAGATGGATGAGGAATCCAGGGTTTAAATAAAAGACTACAGTTAGCTTAATAAGAAGAGTTCTTTCAAAGGATCAGAATATAAAATCTGTGACATCACAGGAATAACACAAAACCAGCCCAATCCCAGGAAAAAACCGGCACAACTAATACAAGCAGATCTGAGCACACAGGAACCTTTCCCAACCACCCTGCACACTCATTCCTCCCCCCCGCCCCCCAATAAAATGGGGATCGACTCATTTGGAACTACTTGATTTTTAATATTAGGAGACATCAGACTTCTGCTTCCAAGCAGTTTAGAGGAGCTTGCAGCAGAAATTACGCACTGCCAAGAACATTAAGAAAGGGCAGACAAACAAAAAAGAACGTTTCAAGACATCAAGGAGCAGCCAGACCAATCAGGACCAGGAGGAGTGTGATTCCAAGGAGCAGAAAAGCCCGACCAGGGACGGGCTGGCTGCTGCAGCCTCGGGGGGCGGGGGAGGGGCGCGCCGTGGCTCTGGAGCTTGGGCGAGAGGCTGAGGACCCAGCTAGCCACCATGTCACACCAGCCGTCAGATTTCCTCCTCTGTATGCATGCCCTGATTCTAGCTTTTGCCCAGTTGTTTCTTTAAATTTTCTTTTTTAAGCAAACAATGAAGACCCAGTTTACCAGATTTATTTTTTAAGCCTAAGCTGAACATTGCCCATTATGCAACGGTGGAAACTCCCTAAGTTATCGGCATTTGTGCACACTAGAGGACACCCTCGACTTACAGTACGCCAGAAACGTACTGCCGCTGATGCCTTTACTACCTGTCACCGCTGAACACTAAAAAGAAATTACTCCATTTTTCTACTTGGTTGTCCTTTTGTTATTAACTTACAAGGGCTCTTTCAATATTAACAGTCCTTCAGTGTTGACAATTTTGATCATTTAACTATGACATATAATACAGATTGTTCCCCTAAGCCTATCATTTGTCTTTTGTGTATGGGGGCTATGTTCTTCTTTAAGTTAAAAGGACATGCTTTTATTTCATGTTTTATCTCACTCTGAACACCAGAGGACAACAACGTGATGGCTGAGAATACAGCACAGAGGTCCAGGTGCTGTCTCTGGAAAATAAAATGACCCTTCTGTCGTTAGCTCTGTTCCCCAGCCCACGTCACGACCCACCTGCGTTACTGAAGTGTCTCTTGTTGGGATGACCGTAGTTGTCTCTCGGGTGTCCGTGCATCTGCGGCCCGTGGGAGGCAGGTAGGTGAGACTTCTGGGGGTGCAAGCCATGCGGGGTGTGGGACTGAGACATCACCGAATCCCGGCTTGACCCTGAGGCCTCGGGCCGAAATGGCTTCTTACCACCAATCACATCATCTTTCTTCTTTTGCTCCTAGAGAGTGAAAGGAAACCAGAGACTCTCAAGGTCCCAGGCTGAAATCCCAAGAACGGTATACAGATCATCACCTTCAAACAGTTCCCGCTTGGCTTCTGACCTGGCATTTACTACCTTCTTTGCAAAGCACGCTCAGCGCACCACCTGCTGCCCTGCCCCACTAGGCCAGCTCCGCCGATGGGCACCTGTAATCACACGGGGCTGGAACAGGTGCCCAGGCGGTCAGTGCTCTCAGTGACACCCCTTCCCCATAAAACCAGGACCACCCACTTTCTGAGGCTAACTAAACCAGACAGCCCCAACTGGTCTAATTTGGTCCATGTGTTCTCCCTAAGCCATTTTTCTGTTTTTTAAAATATATGTATATTAAACAAAAATAATATTTGGTATTTTCACTTAACATGAAAATCTCATGTGAATACTTATTTCTACAATATTATATTGAAGAGTGAGTAATACTCAATGTGGATATATCATGATTCATTGAATCTAGTTCTCACTGCTGAACATTCGAGTTATTTCCACTACAAACATGCTTACATCCTCGGTTATCTCCTTAAACTAAGTTCTTGGACGGGAGGCCCACGTTTCAGTCGTGGGTAAGTCTCACTGAGCCGTCCTGCGGACATGCATGTAGACCCCACGAGCGGGGCCACTGCTGTTGTTGCTCAGCTCGCACCACCTCCGGACGCCCACCCCGCGGAAGCCCTTCGCTCCCCGTGTCCAACCTGCAACGCTCATCCCAGCTCGCACTCCTTCCCAACCGTTCCACCACTCCTTCCTCGGGCCTCTCCCGACTACCCATTCAAAGACTTCTCATAACGCTTCAAATTTACACTACCGTTCAGCAGTGCTAGTTTATCACTGCTGCTTTACTGCAAAATCACACATCACGTTCTTCCACGTGAGTGAGAACGTTAGTAACATCAGGGCACTGCTCCACAGCCCGAAGCAGTGCTGCCTTGCCTCAGCACTGGGCACGGGGCACGCTCATGCGACACGTCCTTCTGAGCACCTGCCCTATGCTGGCATTGTTCCAGGTGCCGCAGATACAGCAGAGGCCAAGAGACATAAAAGTCCTGCCTTCCCAGAGCTGCTGCATTACTACAGCTGGTAGTAAATGCTCCTAGACGGGCCCTAATGGCTAATGTGGGTTGGGCCCGCATGCCATGTCAGCACGTCTGCAAATGGACCTGTCTGCACAAGGAACACTGGCCTTGCACCACCCCCTACACCAAAGTGGGGGGGGGGGGGGCAGCTTCTGGGCACCCACTCCTGTCTGCCCCTTCACATGAGCAGTTGGGACCCTCAGTACAGAAGCCAGAAGTTCACAAGACCCAGAAAAGAACAGAAAAAAAGATTTTCTGCCCACAATCCTGTCACCTGTCAAGAGCCATATTTGTAAGTGACAACAGACATGTGCATCGGAAAAAGGCCTGGTGAATAAATGATCCCAGGACAGAGTAACAGAGAAAAACAACCCCTTATCAGAACTTCAACACCGTTGGAAATAGCCAATCAACGTACTGGCTATTTTCCCATCCGTTCATGTACGGTTAGCTAGTGGTGCGTGCTGGGAAGCTGCACAGCTAATATAAAGAAAAGGCGCACAGGACAAGGCAGGGTGGCCGGGGTGGGCTCCTGCACCCCTCTGGGTCTTATGCCTTCGTCCACACAGTCAGGAGGAGACCCACCGACCCCTCTAACACCACCGTCCCGTGATCCTACGATCCCCTCCCCAGGGAAAACAGCAATCAAGGAATTTTCCTATGGAACTGGTTTTTATTTGAATGAACTAAAATTAAATTTGTATTTTACCTACCTCTTCTTCTTGAGATCTTTTCTTATGAGCCATCTTGTATAACTTATGCAATTTTCGAGCATCGAATTCTGTAAACTTGGAAACAAAGATCCATAGGTTCCTATAAACAAAACCCAAAAACCACAGTTCTGGTAAACAGTAGAAAATAAAAAGTTACTTTTTATTCTTTTTTGATTGATGGCAAGCTACTGAACTTTCCTGTGCAATCTCTCCAGGTGTAGAAATCAAGTTACAGAAAGAAATACTCTTTCAGGCCTGTGCCTCAGTCGTCACACACCTTTCCTTGCTACTCTCAATGGGATCTGACTGGGCTCCGGAGACCAGGGCTCCCTCTCAGAGCTCAAATCTATCTGTCGCACTGGCACCTGGGACTCCAGTCCGAGCCTGCCTCTGCCGTCCGTGTTTCTGGCCTCCGCCACACAGTCCACCAGGACCCCCCCTCCCAGATACAGCTGGGTATGTCCGCATGGCTGCCCGTTCTTTCCTTCCAGAGGTCAACAAGGCCTCTCTCGTTCCTTCCCTAAAACCCTAAGGCACTCCTCCCCTCCAAGGGCACTGCCTGCAGCCCAGCACACAGCATTCCTATCGGCAGGGGAGTGCCTGATCAAATGGGTGTAAACTCGGAGACGCAGTCCCTCTCGGGGAGCAGGAGAGGGAGCCTCACACCCTCACGCTCTTTCTAGAGCAGTCCCACCCCACTGTGCTCAGCTCCTCGCAGAACACGGGGCTGGCTCCCTAACTCGCACACCTGCTCCGCCACGGAGAAAGCCGTCTGCCTTCCTTTCTAAGGACTGCTCTAATAGGACTTCCCCATCTTAACTGCCTTTACATCCTAAAAACCTCCCAGTCCCCTGCCTGGCCGGCCCACTTTGGGCCCTTGCTGCAGCCTGAGAATGCTCTTCATCTAAGTCCACTCCACTTTTCTGTGACCAGTTCAAGCGCACCTGCCTGCCTCTCAAAAGACCCGCCTCCCGACTCCTCTTTGGCATGCGCTTTGCTTCCGGGAACTCCTGCTACACTTGGTCTCGCAGTCACTGCTTCACAGTGCAGAGTTTCTCAGGAGCGAGCAAGAACTTTCCTGTGAATACTGACAGCCAGGACACAGCGCCTGGTGCACTTACACTCAGACAGGCCCCGGTGCACAGGAGAAAGCCCAACTTATGGAGCCGTGTGCTAGCATGGCCTTTTATCATCTTCCAATAGTGATGAAGTCCAGTTAAAAGAAAGCCAGATGGCTAAGCTTGGGAAGTTGGTAACAGTGTAAAGGAGAAGAGTGACATTTTAAAACTTAAAAAAATTTGAGTGTGAAGCATGGTATGGATGGCATCATGGCAGGTTTTAATTAAAACCATTTTCACTCTGAAACTAATCCACTGATACTGGACATATGACATGAAGATAACAATTATATTAACCATGAAGTATATGAGGTCAAAGTCACTGTGGACTGTGGAAAGAAATTAATGCTGTAATTATCTTTGAGAAATTTATTGTATTTTCTTAAAATATCAGAAGTAAATATATAAATGAATATGTAAGTCATGATGCCTTACAAATTAAAGTTGTACATTAACTGAATTAATCTAAAATATTGCTAGAGTTATTTAATTATCACAGCCCTGTGACTTTAACTTGTTTCCTCTCCTGTGTAGTCGAGAGCTAACAAACTAGTCACTATATCTGAGTATCAGCTTCAGACGGGTAAAGCAGTATAACTAGATGATTTCCATGCCTTCACTTAAAGGCTGAGTCTCTTCTGAGAACAGGCTAGCAAACCCAGCCTCACCGTCTTTCTCGCATAAATTAATGACGTCACCCAACCCACTCAGAAGACTGGTCTCAGTGGAACGGCCTGTTTCAGGAAAGTAAAATTCAAGCCTTGCAGGTATGTTGCCACAGATGGCTTTTGTCAGGGGAAAAACTGTTTCATTACATGGATGTGTCATAAAGACAAAAACAATTCTCCCTCCTACTCTCTCTCTCTCTCTCTCTCAAACCAAAGTGGGCAGCCAGAGCCCCCATGGGTTACCTCCTCCACAGTTTGATGTGCTCCTGGTCGGAGTAAGCTTTAAGGCACTCGGCGATGCGATCCCCGATCTTCAGCAAGCAGTTCCGGGTGTGCTCCAGCTGCTCCTGCACGCTGAGCCCCTTGTCGGGTTTGTCCAGCTGTTTCAGTGCCTTCTTCACAGGCCTCATCCTCTCCTTACACTGGAACAGGTCAAGAGGGGAGAGACATAAAGCGCCTGCCGCAGAGACGTGTCCTCCTCCCCTGCGTTCTGTGCCCTGAACTCCCAGAGAACACACGGCCCACCCCCGTGCCCTGTGATCGCTGGGGGAGGTGGGTTAAGCCAGTGGAACGAGTACCAGTATCAGAGTCAGAAACACCTGAAGTGCAAGTCCCACCACCACCACTTAGAGCAATGACTGTGGACGCCTTACTTGGCCTCTGAAAATGCTGCTGTTTCCTCCTCTGCCAGAGGGGCCTGATAATCCCACAAGGCCTTCATGAAGATCAAATGAGAAGCAAAATTACAGACCTAGCCTGAAAACCTCCCACCACAAACAGCTAAAATGGCAGATAAATTATTTGCAAGTTTTTTTTAATTGATTTACAAGTTCTTTAGACTTATAAGAAACTCAGGGAGGGGCTTGCAGACAAAGATGGTGAACTGAACATAAGAATCTGTTTCTCTCCTCCCCAACCCTGACATAACAATAATAAAGGGATTGTCTTAAAAAAAAAGAAATAAGCCCACAAAGTAAAAATGAAAGAGAAATCAGCAACAAAATACTGGCACAAGGGAAATAATATGAGAGCTGAGAACTGCCTGAGGTACATGGCAAATTTCCCCCAAAGCTCTGTCTCTAGAAATTAGGGCGAGGGCTCAAAATAAGGACTGGTTTTTCAAAGACAGCCCAAGAGTAACTGACACTCAGACTCCTAACAGACACCCAGGTCTCCGACCCGGGCCAGCCGGAGACGAGACGAGGAAACGCGTGCTCTGAGAGGGCAAGAGAAAGGCCTCTGGACTGGGCTGCGCGAGCAGAGCGGAGGGGCGGCGTTCCCACACAGAGGACAGAATCAGACAAACACAGGCGAACTAGACAAGCCACGGCCCAACCTTACGCCGCTCTCAGACTCCAGAAGGAAGAAAGCCAGGCCTCCACTCTCCAGTCAGGGGACTGGGAGATTTCTCCGTAAAACCTGACCACCCAAGAGGAAGAACCAAACGATGCTGACTACCCACTGGACACTTCCCAGGGAAGCTGCGCAGCCAGATCACCCCGGAGCGAACACTCTCAGTCCACCAAGCCCCGCCCACATGCTCAGAACTCCCAGTCCGAGTCCCACCCCACTCGCAAATACGAGCAGACCACCGAGGACTACTGAGCCATTAGAGTGTCTAACATGAACAACAGTGGCCAAATTAAAAAGAAGAGACAACTGAGGATTGATTACCAAGCCATCTGAAAAAGTATCTCACATTAATGTTGGAAAACAAAGAGAAGTATGAAAACATTCAGAGAACCACAGGGAGGGGAATGCTGGCAGTAAAACATGTAAAAGAAACAAAAACCTCAAAAGAAAAACTGGGAGATAAAGTTGAGAGGATCCCCCAAGAAGAGAGTTTAAGAAGCAGAAATCGAAAAATGAAAAAATAGCTAACGTAAGAGACCACTTTCAGAGTCCATTACCCAAAAACAGAAGTCCCATAAAGATACAACTAAGAACTTAGGAGGAAATTATCACAGAATAATGTGAACAAATTTCTCAGACCTGCCGGACATGGTTGTGAGCCACTGAGTGTCTGGCACCGTGACTCAGGCAGGCTCACGATGTGACCATGACTCGACCATGACACAGCAGGACGATGCAAGTCCTGCAATCCTCCGCAACTCAGGGGTCACTGCCAGAACCCAGACAGACTCTCTCGCCAAACTGCCTGGGACATAGGACGAGCTCCTCAATTCTCTTCGCCTTATTTTTTAATATGTAGTACTGAGGTAGTGACCTTCATCATAGGGTTACTGTGCAGAAAGCACACATAAAGCATGCAGACAATACCTGGCTGCTTATGAGAGCAGCATTATTATTGTCTTTAGAGACCTAAGGAGTGAAACTCTAACATCACCCACGAGAATAACGAGTGACTCATGGTCACTTCTGGGGACCTGACAACGGAAATGCGCGAGTTCAGCGGGGGGAACAGCATGGGCTTCCACTTTACATTCTGAGCTTTGAAAGCATGCAGATTTGACTGAGTTTCATGGCACCGTATCAAGGGGTATTACATTCCTAAAACTTCTCTGTATTTATAAAGATTTCATAATATAAAAATGAGTAAATGCTGCCATATGTAAAAGCATTGTCTAAAATAGCATTAATTTACTCATTTATTGACATCCTACTAGCATTTCCACGTACAGAAAGAGAATTTGCCCTGAGAGAGATCACAGGCTGAAGAGCACAGAGAATGAAGAAAAATGAGGTAAGTACTAAAAAAATACGTGTATGTATATACACACACCATGGGTTTGGGGAACACAGAGGAAAGAGGAAAGACAGGAAAGACCACTTTACAGGGATAAGGTCAAAATTCGATCCTCTACTGACACAGCGCAGGAATACTTTGAGATTTGGAAGATCACTTTCTCTGAGACAGAATTAACTGTTCAAGTGAACTGTAACTTGTGAAAACTGGGGGCAAGGAAGAGACCACGAGAGAGGCAGGGAAGGGAATCGTCAGGTGCAGCGCAGTAACACACACACAGGAGCTGCGGGAGGCAATCAGAACCCTGAGGACGCCCGGCGTGCGCCCCATCCACACAAGGCCTGGTCCGTGCACAGCCTCCCCAGCGCTGTCCCTGTCCGCAAGGAGACAGCGAGTATCCGAGGCCATGTCTTAGCTCAGGCCCCCCGCAAGGAGGAAGCACGTAGGGTATGCCCCCTCCACTGCTGCTCTAGCTAACTCAGCCAGGACCCCAGCCCTGTCTTAAGTCATGTTGTCCCCTTTCTCTCACCAGTCCAGCCACAGTGGCCTCTGCAACCGCAATACCAATGCTGGGTCCCGCCACATGGCCTTCATGTGTGCCACTGTCGTGCCTGGGCACGGTCTTCCCCTCCCTCCTGTCCTGTTACCTTTCCCTCTTCCTTGAGCATCCAATGCAAACATCCCTTCCTTAAACGCGCCCTCCTGACATCCCGACTGGGTCAAATCCCCTCCTCACAGACCTTCGTAGAATCCGGTCTTCCTCCTCCACTGCGCCGTGACAGCAGCACACACACGAGCTGCGTGGTGACCTGACTACCCCCTGCTCAAACGCAACGTCTACAATGACAGAAACAGTTCTCTGTTCACCATGGTAGCTCCAGGGGCTGCACACAGAGAGCATTCAACGAGGGTCAGCTCAGTGGACACTCCCATTCTCCACACGCTACGAAGGGCCCTTGCAGCGCTTCCGGACCAGAAGCACACGACATGGCCTTCGGTCCCTAATGTTCTTTCTCACTAGCAGTGCAGTATGAAGATCTTCCTACCAGCCTTTTCCAAAGCTCAGGGCTTTCGCTCTTAGAAGCTGAGTTTCCAAAGTGACGTGCGGAGGCTAAGACTGACCACGGCTGTGTGGCGGGGCCTACGAAAGGCAGAGCCACATCAAGGACTGGGGCTGCAGGCGCTGGCATCCCTCCATGTCAGGACTTACTATGCTGAATGTCTCCTGGTCCAGATCATCCTCCTCATCCTCGCCAATGGGGACAGGTTCACTTCCTGCTGTAATATGGACAGGACCCTGAGATCGCTTTGATTTACTCGAAGATTTGGCATCACCACCTTTAGGCTTTTAAAAAAGAGTTACAAGGAGTCATTGTCACTTGTGCCATCCTGCCTTGCAATTCGGACTTCCTGTCTGCGTCCCATCACTCCAGCAGGTGAATATGATGCCCTCCGTTTGTGAAAAAGGTAACATAAAGTCCTCTGGGACATCACGGAGCCACACTTACACGGTTCACAGCTTCATCATACATCACGCCCATTTCTGTCTCTAAATGTACCAATTCTAACTTTAGTTAAAATTTGGTACATTTCATCTAAATTTGGTACACATCATCTAAAGTTAACCTTTAGATTCATTTAGTGCTATTTTGGCTTGTTCCCTCATCCATAAAATGCACAAAGACACCATCAAGAGGTTACGAGTATAAATTGGCAGAGATCTAGTATGGTATCATTTAGCAGCTTTTATTAACAGCTGATAAATGACTATACAACTTTGATCTAAAAAGTTTTTTATTAACAAAAATATTCTCAGTGATTCAAATCTGCATAAATCCAAACTGATAAATCTAATTTCTCCATAAAAGTTTACAGAAGGGTGGAGATATAAGTAAATATAGATACATTTATTAAAAATTGCTGCATCTATGAATATCTAAAAACGTAAAACAATACTATGCTTTGTGATTATATATGTAGTAAAGGGAGCTATAATATCCGGGTAGTGGATAGATGGATGTTTGTTAAATCAATCTTTATTCTTTTATTTTTGAAATATTTCATTTTTTAAAAAAGGTACCTCTGTGGAAGATAAAACCATAAAGACAGCGGTCACAGGACGGTTTATGATATTAGATTTTGGAAACAACTTCAATCAGAGAGATATAAGCTGCTTCCAGGCTGTTATAACCATACAGAATTTTTTCTATTAAGAAAAATTATTTTAACATGCATTATTCACTTGGAAAGTTGTTTTGTGACATATTGCTAAGTGGGGAGAAAAAGATTCTCAAACAGTCTGGTCTGATATTTATTTTATATTTGTTCTCATGTGCTTAAGACAAGAGATCCAGAGGTACCCAGCAAGAAATCTACTCAAGTTACAACTACATGGAAGAGTTAAGAGTGGTTATTTGTGTGTTTTAACGGTGATTAGGGACTAATTACAAAATACTTTCATTAGAAGTCGGTAAGCATACATAAACCACTGTACCACAATCCTGTGGTTTGGAACAGAACCATGAAGGGAAGGTTGTATAATAGAACTTTTTACCCAATTCTATTCCAAAAGCTTAACTCTTGATGGTATTTGGTTTGAATCCTAAAGCCTTCAAAATATTCAAACTCATCTGTGGACTGTGCTCCTCTATCATGAATCTGAGAACACAGCTCAAGCAGTTACCTGCAAATGCCGGTTTCTCCCACCTGTCCTACCTCACCCAAACATCCCCTCTGACATATGTACGACATTTGTAGGTAAAGGCCTTCTATGTGGAAGAAGAGCTCAAACTTGCACACGCCCTTCTCTCTACGGGGAGAGGCGCAGCCTCCCTCTGACAGCCCCTCCTTCCTTCTTGGATGCACCCAAGATACGATGACTTCGGGGCCCTCAACACCCCGACCTATTTCTAAGCCCCGGAAGGGAATGTCAGAGACCGCGGGCCTCTCAGGAAGTAGAATGACACAGGTACCTTCTCTTTCTTATCTTTCGACTTCTTCCTTTCCTTGTCCCCATCTTTGTCTTTCCTAGAACTCATTTGTTTCTCCTTGTTCTCCTTGTTCTCTTTCTTCTTCTGTTTCTTTTTCATTGGACTTTTTTCTAAGCCATCGTCCTAGAAGACAAACAAGGCTATGAGCAATGGCCACCAACTCTGCATTGACTCATCCACACTCTGGAGAAGGCAACACTGCCCCCAGTGGCTCCTCACCGCATCTACACATAGTAGCGTGTTTTCCAGCAGACAGCCCTAAAGCCAGTACCCAGTTCTAAACTCTGGTAATGACCAGTTCAGCCAGCAGAGGCTTCGCTTACACCTCCTCTTCCGCCCAGCGACCCTTCAACACAGGTACTGTCATGCCCATTTCACAAACAGAAGAACTGAACACTGGAGGGTAGACAGCTGTCAGCTAGTGAGTAACTGGTGAGATGGCTGGTATCTGAATTCATGTTCACACGGCTCAAATCCAGGCTATTCCTGCACCCACTGCCGAGCCTCTTGGAGCTCATCTCGAAGCACAGTTACACTCGAAGAGTAACAACAACAACAAAAAAAACCCCAAACTCACTCGCTGAAACCCACTGAACGATGCTAGTGTATTTTCCACGTTGCCTAGACCAGAGGGCACACACTGGCAGGTGCTGGCCAAGCCTGACCCGCAGGTAAGTTCTGTCTGGCCCAACAACAAACTGAACTGCATGGTGGCTGTCCCTGGACATGAGCTCCCTGGTGGTGTCCCCACCACTCCCTGTCGGTCCCAACGAGGCTGAGTGTCCACTGCTACTCAGCACTGAAACATCCTTGGCTCTCTTTGTTAACGTCCACTATCTGTGAATGTGCAACTGCTGACTTAAATGAACAACTACACTCCTCTCAGGTTAAGCAAAGACATACATATTCTATTTTATCTAATGCACATGTACGCCAAACGTATTTTCAACGGTTTTATACAAATTGGCTCAGTAAGTGTAGCTTAAAGAATAGCTCTCAACTGGGGAGTATGGCCCATACCTTTACTTCCCCCTCCTCTGACGGGTTATCTGAGTGTCTAGGAGAGGAAAAGTCAACCCCTTGCTCATCTTTCAGCCTGGGAGCTTTGTTCTCCTTCTTCACTCGAGGCTTCCGCTTCTTTAACTTGGCCTGGGAAGAGAGGGAAAATGATGATTAAACGACAAATCCAGACCCTTAAAAGCTTGGCCAAATAACACAGGGACTCGTGAAGCAGCAGCAGCCGTATATCCTGACAAGGAAACTCAAAGGCGTGTGACCGATACGCCTGAGGCGGAGGACTGCAGGCCTCACGCATGGCCTGCCCCGCGTGAAAACACTGGGGGCCTCGGACCTGCCGACTCCACTTTTTGGAATTCATCCTAAAGGTGAAATTCAAATGAAGGAAAATCACCTTATATACAAAAATACAAATAAAGGTTATATATATAAAACAATAGCAACCCCCCCACCCAACCCCCCAAAAAAAACAAACCCAAAAGCATGCTTCATCTAAAAATAAGGGAAAGGTGTTTATCTACTTAGTCAAACCTAATGTAAGTATAAACGTGCCGGATCTGTATCTAGAGCATCACTGAGAGTATACGCTCAACATATTATCTGGAGAATGATACCACTTATGTGATACTACTATGTGAAAAAAACAAGGTGTGAAATTAGGGTAACTTTCTTCCCCTGTACAGGGATATTCATATGAATGGCACAGGTCTAAGAGGACTTAAGGAACATACAAAAAGGCTGCGAGGACCAGATGTAACTTGTATCTTCTAGCTGTGACAGCCATCTTTCTAGGTCTGAATCGAAATGAAAAGTTGGGGAAATAAAATGAGACACAGCTCAGATGAGTTCACTGGCAACTCACTTGGGATTTGTCACTGAGCAGGTAAGGCAAACATACTGAAGTCCTCCTTCTGATTAACTGTGGATTCCCATTACCTGTTTTCCCCCGCCCCACTATTACAAGTAGCCCAGAGTGAGCTGTGAAAACAGGCAAACCCAGTGGTGTTCAGACAGTTACTGGAACTATGTTCCAAAACTCGGGAAGCGGCATAAGAAAATGCAACAGTATGTCTGGACCAAGTGACACTGAGAGTGATGAGGACTATTTTGAGACAACCTGGTAAGAAAGATACCAAGGTGTCTGGGTCAGTAATTAAAACGAACACTTCTACTACCAACTAACCACCACTGCTTGAACCTCAGAAGCAGCACCTGACTACGAGAAGCTGCCACTCTGGGTGGGGGCCGCAGCAGGCATCCCTCCTCCCCAACCTGCAGGGCTGGAGCCTCAGATCACCGAAGAACACCAGGGGGCAGCCGCACTCACTCACCTCTTCCCCGCCGGACACGGCCCCCTTCTTCTCCAGGCTCTTCCTGAGCAGCTTCAGCAAATAGTCCACTCGGGTCTGTAGCTGCTTCCCCTGAGGCTTTTTATCTGTCTCCACCGGCAGAATCTTCAACAGGAAAGGAAGAGAAGCACCCGCCACCACCCATGTCCCGGTTAGTGCATCAGGATAAACAGAGACAAGAAGAACTGAGCAGTCCTTTCCCTCCCCAACCACCCAAAATACAGATACAGCCTCAGATCCTATCTCATGTCCATGGCTCCCAGTCACTGAAAATCCCTTATGAGCCGTTCTCGTTTTACAAAATGGGATGGAGAAATCCAGCTCTCCCACTGGCTCCTACCTGTGCTGTTAACAGGGTAGAACAACTCAGGTAGGAGGGGCTTGTTGGCTTCATCTGCTAGAACATCCCAGCCGTCGTGATTTCCTCCTTCCAGGAGCAGGGAATCCCTGGAGCTAGGTTAAAGCTTCATTTTAGATTGAAAATGCTTCTTAGAGCATTGCCGGAGAGCACTGAGCTATGCCAGGACAAGATCTGTCCCTGCTACTACAGCTGGGCCTCTCAGGCCGGAACGGATTTGGTCTCAGCGCTTATGGCAGGGTGCTGTCACCCTCTCTAGGACATTGCACGTGGGATGAGCATTGTTTGACGTGCCAGGAAAAGCCCTGCCAGGAGCACCACGTGGAGTGCATCCTACTGAAGTTTGAGCCAGTCAGCTTTCCCTGCTTACAGCTCTGAGCACGGCCTTGCTACCTGGTAGCCCGCTTGCAACGGATAGGGTGGGAGGCTCGATTTTGTGGGAGAAGTACGGCCAATGTTTAAATCCATTACAAAAAACACCAAGGTGGCTCGTTCTTTCTTTGCGTAGAGAACAGAAAATCGGTCGTTTCAAATGCAGTTGCCAACAAAGGGCCAACAAGAACGGCCGAGGGACGCTTTTATTGTTAATAATCTTACCCTGGTATTTGTTGCAATGAGACTGACCTATAATAAAAATCAGAATTTTAAGATTTCTCCTGTAATTTCCCAAGAATTTTACCTGACTATCATCTTCACCTATGACACAGTGTCACAGTCCACTGAAGATGGTAACGTTCCCAAGGATAAAGAAATCCCAGGAATTTGCTTTGTACTAATTTCTAAGTTGATCCCCGCCCCCCTCAGAAAATAGTTAAAAAGACATATAAAAATATTACGCAACGAATCTTCTAGAAATCTCCAGCATCACACAGTTCCTTACTTTGTCAGTTAACTTGAGCTCTGGATCTGTTTTAATCAGCTCCCAGTTTCCATAGCCATGCTCATAAATCCCCAGCAGGAGGCGAGAATCGTCCTCCACTCCCCACTCCACATCGAAATGGGCAGCTTTGACTCGACAGGTTAAGCAGTACCTACGGGGATTCCAAAAACAGGAGGACGTCAGAGGAGGGGCCTGTCTGATTTGGAGATAAACACTAATGGAAACAGACAAAAGTTTTCTGCCGCGTTAAAGAGAAGGCGGCGAACACACCACGTGAGCACACGTTAACTGTAACCCCCAGTCTATCTGCTACGGCACAAGCACTCCCTGCATAAGTACGTATAACACTCACTTTTTTTTTTCTTCAGGGTCCGCAGGGATAGACTTATGCAGCATCTCAAACTCTTCTTCATGCTGGAGAATGGATTTCACATTCACCTGAACCCCGGATATCTTGATTGTTGGACCTCTCTTTTTTCCTGGTCCTTTCCCTAAAGAAGGCCAATTTCACATTAGATAAATAAGAATTGGCTGAAGTTCCACAGAAAACATGAACCAAATCCTGAATGCTTATTCCTCAATCTCTGTCTTACTGTTAATCAAAGATACAACCTATAAAGCAAAAAAAAAAGCCTCAATTAATATTTGTAAAATAACCTCAAAACAATTCAGCTTTTTAAAGATTTTGATATTTATAATTATATTTTAATCTTCCTATCTGTTTTATACTTGTTTTAAAATTAACAAAATTAGCAAAAGAAGATTCTGAAGAAATTAGTGCTAAAGATTTTTCTTTTGTTATTCTAACTATTCCACCATTCACAAATTTTTTTTTAAGTTTTAAAAATGATCTCTACTAAAAAAGTATGAGGTCAAGCTAATATGTAACACCTCTAAAATGAATGAAAGATGTCATGGAAAGGTTACCGTAACCCTTGTTTCAAATTAAAATAATCCTCGAAGTAAAAATAAAACCCAGTACTCCAACCAGAGTCCAAGTTGCAATCCAAGAGGACAACACTTGTCTGTGACAGGGATAGCTCAGAGTGTGAGAAAAGATCTCATTTTTTTAAAAACACGCAAGTCAGTGAAATGGCACAACAATTGCAAACGATTATTTAGGGATTCTTTTGCAATCCACCAGACTGTCACTTGCAAATGCCATTCAAGACAACACTCACGGGAGCTGGGACAGAAAGTGGTCAAGTGGTCAAGTCGGCTGAAAATCAGGAATCTGGAATTTATTCCCCAATCTGCATAAACTACCCCTTCTCCCCTTTCACCGTTAGTTATTGACCTCTCTGGGTCTCAGCTTCCTAGACAATAAAAAATAGACGCCCTGGCTGGCGTAGCTCAGTGGATTGAGCGCAGGCTGTGAACCAAAGCATCGCAGGTTCCATTCCCAGCCAGGGCACATGCCTAGGTTGCAGGCCACGGCCCCCAGCAACCGCACATTGATGTTTCTTTCTCTCTTTCTCCCTCCCTTCCCTCTCTGAAAATAAATAAATAAAATCTTTTTAAAAATATTTTTAAAAAATAAACAAATAATAAAGACACAATTTACAAAAAAGGAAATTCAAGAGGCTCCTGAACATATGAAAAATACTCAACCTCACTTGTCATAACAGAAATGCAAATTAAATGTATACACATGCTAGGTTTACCCTATCGGGTTGGGAAAAAGAAAAAATGTGAAAATATTACACTGATGAGACTAAGAGAAAACAGACATTCTTACTCAATGCTGGTAGGACAAGATGGTACAAAATGGAATACATACAACAGGATTATTTACCACAATGCTGTGAAGCAACAGATCAAAAGCTGAATGTCCATTAACAGGACACTAAAATTGTATGTCCCTAACAGTCTATGAAGCTGTTAAAAAAAAATCAGGCAGTGGAGAAATGATGGTCCATTTTTAATGAATATAGCAGACATATACTGAATAGAAGAAATAAAACAAAACTGGAAATACCAGGAAAAACTCCAAGTGTATCAGAACTATAAAAGTAAATGAAATCACACAGGCACAAGGGGGCAAAAATCACAGTGAGTTACTTATAAAATCTGGGGAGTAGAAAAACACTGCGAACTGCAGGTTTACTTTTGGATGCTTTCTTGGTGCTATGAAAGCACATATTTGGATCATGGTCCAAACCTTTCAAGGGAGGGAGGGAGAGAAGGAATGAATGAATGAATTACATCTAAAAAAATGTTCACTATATTTAAGATATTTAGAAATCTCTTACTTCAATAATACCTTTGAAGAAAATATCTCAAAGCACAAATACTCCTTTATTTAATGATGATAGCTAATTCCGCAGGCCACAGACTAAACGAGGTAAGTACTTTCCATGTACGGGATTACTCAAGTAATCACCCAACTCTCTGAGGCAGGTACCAAAATACCATTTTCCAAATGAGACCATGAGAAGCCACCACCCGTACCTGTCTCAGCTCTTCCAGCTAAGAGATGGTGGAGGCAAGATTCCAAGCAAGCTGGCTGCCTCCCAGGACAGACCACTAACCACAGCTGACAAAGCCTCTGGTGAGGAGCGAAGCGCCAACAAAGAAGGGGGGAACTGGCATACATAAAGCACGGTCCAGTGAACCAGAGTGGCAACACCCAAGCCGCTCTGCCTGAGGTTCGACTGTGAGGGTCCGTTAGCCAAGAGGACGTCAGAGCTCTCTGTTCACAAGCCCCACACCTGAGGTAGGAGGCCCAGCGGGGACACTGGTTGGCGTGCAAGAGAACAAACTACAGGTCAAATTCATTACAATGAATTCTAGTGCTATGAAAATCTCAGTGTGACAAAACGTGTACGATACTCATCCGATATTTTACTCCAACTGATTTTCTAAACCCTTGAAATCTGTCACAACAAAAAAATGTGCAGGTACATCCAAGATAATTACTGATACTTGTGGTAAGTCCTCGTTTACACCCAAAATACAGGTGAGTCTGCTCAGCTTTACCCATTTCCATCAAACCAATTCAAACTTTCCATAACAACATAAAAAGAAACCATCTGTCCTGTTCATTACTCCGCACCTTCTGCAAATCAACTTCACTTGCAAGTGAATCTTTAGGAATCCTAGAGCACCGAACTCACAGAAAGGCAGGAGAAAACACACACCTCAAAGACCCACACGGGGACACATAGGGTGCAAGTCTGCTGCTCTAAGAAATGCCGCCCGGCAGCGGCAACGCCAGCCCACAGTGCCAGGCAGGGGAGGCGCACTGAGGCCGGCCCACTGACTTACCCTCGCTGGCGTTTTCTTTGAGCTGCTCTTCATACTCCTGCATTGCCGACACACAGCTGTTGTGAATCAGTTCGCCCAGGCGCTTCAGATCCGCCACTGACTTATCAACTAGCTCAGCATCGCGTGCTATGCACTCCAGCCTGAGGACACACAAACACAGGGATACTTCAAGGCCCTGTGCCCACTCTTCTGCTGTCACATGAAACACCCCTGGGTCTCATGTAAGCTTGGTCCTGCATTCTACATTCGTATTTCCCTACATTCCTTAATCGACAAGAAGCCTGCGGCACTGACTGAGGGCTAAAGGACTCCTTTTCCATCATAAAGAATTGTGCCTTGGAATAGTCCAATTTCAAAAGGCAGGGATTCAGCAATCCGCTAACTAAATGGGCCGTCCGATAAAGGCAGCAGGGTAGTGCCTGCGAACAGTGTGGCACCAGTCTGCTTCTGTTGTGCCCACTTTCCTTTCTCCAGCCTCTTTCATTCATCACACTGTTCCCAGCAGCAAAGTACAGTTACTTCTACAACGTTTTTGATCTTTAAGTCATATGCAGCATGTCAATGGATACACTGCCTAAAAATTAGGCTGTCAAAAGGTGCCAGACCTTAAATGGAAATAGTATCAAAAGAACACCCCAAAACAAAACAAAAAACTCCTGCTATAAATAAAAGAGAGGCAGGCCCTGGCTGGCGTAGCTCAGGGCACTGAGCTCGGGCTGCAAACCAAAGTGTCGCAGGTTCGATTCCCAGTCAGGGAACATGCCTGGGTTGCAGGCCACAGCCCCCAGCAACTGCACATTGATGTTTCTCTCTCTCTCTCTCCCCCTCCCTTCCCTCTCTAAAAATAAAAATAAATAAAATCTTAAAAAAAATAAAAAATAAAAGAGAGGCAGATAAAGAACTATTACTAAGCTTACCGTTCAAGGGGGAGACCAAACTTCTTATATGCCTTGATGAACCTAAAGAGATGAGCAAAAAAGCTCATTAAAAAGAGAGACTTGGGCTACACGAATGCAAACATATCCGGTGTTATAATATATATACCAGTGCGCCACGTAAACTGTCAAAAACACACTGGGCCCAGTCCTTGCAGCAGGCCCTGAATGAATGGGCGCCGAATGCCTCCGCAGATGGCCAACTTAAAATGCTGCGTGCTGGCAGTCTGTTCAAACTCAAGAGCCGCTCTATTCTCATGACTGATGGTGAAACTGCTTAGGGACCTAACTGAGGACAGTGATTTAACTCTGATGGTACCCATTTTAGAAGGTATATGTTCATTTGGTACATCCTTCAATCACCACAGCTCTGGAGATAAAAATCCCCAAATAGCTGGTCAGTGCAGTCCACTGCTGTTACTTTCAATTCCATACTGCGATATTTTTCAGTATTTTCCAGTCCATGATACAACTATGAGATTTTTAGGACTGCCTCAAATATTTTGGGGAATGAGACAAAGTAAAATAAATACATGACTTAAAGCTTCTTAGGCAAAATTCTTTTGGAAACTGTGCTGACTCCTGCCCAACCTTACCTCCAACCAAAACTCCAACCTGCCTTTCCACAGGTCTCTGCCCTAAACCACACGGTCTGCCCATCTGCTGCCCTCCCTGCAACTAACCAGCACTGCCAATGAAAAGCAAGATGTGACAACACACCAAGGGCCTCGCTGTGGCCTGACATGCCAACCACTCAACTAGGTGACAGAATCAGAAGAGATATTATGGGGAAAAAACTGGAAACAGGGCATGGTGAGTGAAGAAAGTGGGAATAAACGTAACAATAGCTAAGAAACACTAAGAAAGGGACAGTGTGGATACAGGGATTAGGAAAGTATGACACATGAAAGTGAACCTGGGGATTAGTCCTCAAGTCTTCATTCCTCCTTGATATATACACTGAAACATTTTACATCTGAAATAATATGACATTTAGGATTTACTTCAAAATAACACTGAGATGGAGAAGCACCTCTGGACCAGTGCACGGCTGTCTCTCCTGCCCTTCCCGGAGCGTCAGGGGTCCAATCAGCCCCCAGCTGAAGGTGTGCCCTTCCCACCAAGGCCAAGTGAAGGGGGGCCTCCACCAACCTGCGGATCTCTGCGTCCGTAAATCCCTCTACAAGGTCCTTCCGCACACTCCGGGGGCGCCCTCTGCGCTTTGGCTTCTTGTCATCATCGGAGTCATCCGTCTCACTCTCAGAGGCAGAGGACCTCTGGGCCTGCCTCTTGGACTCAGCATCAGAGTCACTGTCATTTGTCTGAGCCTGGAAGGGCAAAGTCGCATTGGAGCACATGCCAGGTCTGAGAGGTCTAAACACTAAGACCAGACTCTCGTGATTCTTCGGGACGCAAAGCTCCCATCGCATCAGACATTTTCATTGAGAAATAAGGAGGCAGATGCCATGCAATGAAGACCTGACTGGGACGTCACGCTTCCAGAGAAGTGCGAATTCTCCGTCCCAAGAAGTAAACCAGAATAAAAGTACTTGGACTGTAGGTTTACGTTGACTTCTTTGGACAAGTTACTTCTCTGTGTCTTTGCTTGCTATTTGTAAAATGGGGAGTATAGCATCTACAATCAGGGTTTTAATAAAGATCAAATGAATCAGGAACTGTAAATGCACTAGCTTATGCCTGGCACATAGTGAGTACTCAGTAAACAGTAGCTGCCATTACCTTATACTTATTTACTGAGATCTTAGACAAACTCAAGTCTCTTATCTCCAACAAACTGGGTAGTAACTGCCTACTGCGATGTCATTGTAAAAATCAGATTTGACAGGGCCTGTGGTGGTGCTTACAAGTCCAGTTCTATGATGTTTTGTAAGTATTTACACCAGGTGACAGAAACAAACACTAAAGGCAAAAACAGGTTTGTCACTGAGAAACAAATTATTATGATTACTGGTTCTAATCCCAACAGCAAAATGCAAACTCTGTCCAACTAATCTCTGCGCTTAGTACCCGTTCTGCTGGTACATAAAGAGGTAACGTGCAGCAGTGAAATGCCTCCCAGGGGTGCTCCCAGGCCCTGGGCACTGTCCCCTGTTCCTCTGCTGGGTTCCCAAGACCCTGCCCCAGAACCCTCTGGGTCTGGGCAGCAATGCAAGGCCCCTTCCTTGAACAATCAGCCCTTCTGCAGCAGGCAGAGCCTAAGAGTAGGGACGTATCTTTCATCTCACTTGGTCACCTTTTTAGTGGAACTCCGAATTCGAGGCAACATGTAAATTTCTTCCAGCTCCTTCTGCCGCTCCTCCTCCTCAACTCTCTTTCTTTGCTCCTCCGGAATGATCTCATCCCAGTCCTTGTGAGGACGCTCTTCCAGCTCTTCCTCATCTTCCATGGTGGCGAAATTGGCAACCTAGACACAGACAGACAACTGACATTTCCCTGTTCCCCAAATGCCATCTACTAAAACACCAACTCACACAGTGTTTTTAAGCTAAGTACGTTGCTATGAAAAATAAGGCAGGGGCCTGTGATATTACATAATCAAAGAATCTATTTTCTACTAATCTTTCCCTTATCCCCCCCAGAAATCAACTTTCCAAATCCTCAAGTTCATCAGCAATTTTACCAAAAATGTAGGGAAACAGATATAAAGATATAAATTGCCTTATAAAAGTTTTATTAAAACACATGCTGTTAATACAGATGATTACAGAACTGTACATCTGAAACCCATATATAATTTTAGTAACCAATGTTACCCTCCAATAAATTCAATTACAAAAGAAATATACGTTGTTAAATCATACAATTTCTAATATGCAAGCTAAAACTTTTATATCTAGTCAGACTACCTAACAGTAATCCATTATTAACTTACACTTCTATAAATTATAAATTGCTACTTAATAGAACTCACTGGAGGCAATGCATAACTCACAGCACTAGCTACCATCTAGCCAACCAGTTCCCTTCTTCCTTTTTATCAAACATACAGAGGCTGAAGTTATGCAATAACTCACATGCTCAAAAATGCCTTTCATACAGTCTCAGACCCGGCTACACAGAGACGCGCACCAGCTCTGGCCAGCCTCTGAGCCGCGGCGGACAGCCCCAGGCCAGGGCTCCACACTCCTTCTCTTCCTTCCCACCTGGACTTTACAACTATACCAAAGTATTGTGCAAGAGGGGTGTCCGAGTTTCCATTCCTCAAAGTCACTCGGGACTGACAGTGTGGTCAGAACTTTGGCTTTCAGCCAAAATTAACTCTAACTTGGAACATGGATGTCAAGGTCTTCACAGTCAGATTTTAAAATTCCATGACGGACAAGAGGTGTTATTTCTGAGATTAAAAATTTAACATTTCTGTTTTATATATAAAAGGAACCATCTGACCAATCTCTTAAATTAAGCACTGTCTGTAATTACTTTAGGTCTGACTCTTAACACAGCCCGATGAAAATGGTAACAAATGCTATAAATATCAATATTGCATATACCTATGTTTATGGTTCATGCAGGTGGGAATTGAACTTTTTCAAAGCTGGCATGGTGGGTAAGGGCTAGACCACCTGCCTAAGAAGTAGTCCCAACTCCACGTATGTGTGACCTTAGAAAATCTACTTAGCCCCTCTGTGTCATAGTCTCCTCATCTGTAAATGAAGATAATTCATCTACTGTTGTAAGAGTTAATATATGGGGAGCATTTAAAACAGGGCTCAAAGTACAGAAAGAGCTTCACAAGTATTGGTTATTATTACTTAAGAAAATGGAGATCTTATTTATCTCAAAAAACACTTGCTGTGTTTCCAACATGTCAAAAAATGGTAACAAAAAGATTATTGGGAAAAATGGACTCAGTGAAGCACTCCAGAAAAAGCAATGAAAAGACTCCTCCTTCAATAACAACACTTGACCAGGTGCTGAAACGTAATTGCCAAAAGGGCCCTGGAGGCAAGAATCACCAGTCATGTGACTTCTGATCAATCTGCAGTATGCAGAAATTTTTACACCTCAACACTCACACAACATTCTGACCAAGGCCACATCATAAAGATCACTTCCGTTTAAGAAAGGAGCAACTCCTCGTTGAGAAAGGAGCAGTACTCACAGAAATGGAATACAGCTGAAACACCAATAATTCATCTCCACCCTCGGACACATGAACTCTGAAACCAGAGCTCTTTGATCCACTTCCTCCCCGTTCTTCCATGAGACAACTTCTACCTGTGGCCAACCTTGACCTCATTACATACTGCTTCCTTCCAAACCCTGCACCCGCTTCTCCCTCAATCCTAGTGGGTCTCCCACACTTAACCATCACTGCACTGTACCTGGCTTCTCTAACCGGCATGAAACTAAGCCATGGTCCATCCTTTAGCTACGTTCCCACTTAAAACTGGGAAGCCTTTGCCGCTTTGGCTCTCCTCCGCCTCCCGAGCCAATCTCCTACCACCCTGGTATCGCCAACCGATCCAGTTTCTCTGACCTCGAGGACTGGCAGAGAAAGTCATACGAGCCAGGTGACCGGCTCCAACTGAAGCCCTATTTTCTAAATTCAGCGCTACTCCCTATCAAGTTCCTCCCCGTAACCCCTGGCCCCACCCATGGCTGTCCCAAATCTTTTCCACTTCTCAGCAAACACCTCACTTATTTCGCTGGTACTTAAGTTCGCCAAATGGAACTCCCATGTCTCTCCCTCAAGCGCACTTTCATTTTTCTTTCAAAGGCCAACTCCTTCATCTGTGCCTTTGATTATAAACCTTCCAGTCTCCTCTTGAGGCAACGTGTCCTCAAGTTTTCCTTCTTCCCTGAGAACCTTCAATAGCTCCTACTCTCAAATCCCTTCCTCAACCTAGAAACATGGTAACAGGTTTTTAGAAAACCTTGTCTTGCTTGAGCCTTCTGTCATATAAATTACCTTCACTCTACTCTTCACTAGTTGTTTACAACTCAGTGCTGGTGCCCAGCTTCTGCATTCAGTCCTTGATCTTATTTAATTTTCTGTTATATCAGATACCACTGGCCATCCTGTGATGACCCTTAAAAAAAAAAATCTCACCAAGTCATCAAGAGCCTCCTGTCACCTTCTGTTTTTGTACCTTTGACCTCTTTGTCATCTGACTCCATTAATGTCTCTCTCCCACGAGCCTTCCACCCCCCCAGTCACCACCTATCCCATGACATCATATCCTCAGCCCTCTCCCCAGATGTCTCTTCCTCCACCCACTGACCTCAGTGGTTACCTGCAGGGGAGGACGAGAGATTCCATACTGAGAACACGCTCGGAACTCCAGAGCATGATTCTGGGGACATGAGTCAGTTCGAGTAAAGGGAAGAGCAGAGTGTACCCTGTGCCCAGCAAGTGCCATGGGCATCAGCTATTATTGGTTAATGAGTCAATGAGAAGGGCTTCCTCCCACGACGGCTTTCATACCTTAAATTGTGACAGGAGCTCATCTGTCGCACTAGTTGACACTTCGTTCTCCCTGGTTTCAGCCAAGCGCAAAATTTCATCTATATCCATTTCCTAAGAGAAGAACAGCAATACAGCTAAGGTAACAAGGCGACGGTAGTCAGCATGCACTGAAATGTCTGATGCAAATAAGTCAGTTCTCTTTTCTCATGTTCCATTTCTACCTTTCTCTTACTGACCCAGTTTTACACTGTTTTCATTTAATATTTCAAACTATCATTCATACAAACAATTAGGTGATACTTCAGAAAATACAAGAAATAAAACTAGAAAAAAAAGCCAAAGGAAATCTTCAAGTGCTTTCCTCATTTTTTTCTTATTGAATTTATTAAGAGCTTAGAGCTTTATTGTAAAAATCGAAAACAAAAAACCTACGTCTTTGAAATAATTACTGCTTCTTTACAGAAGGCTGTTTAACACGGACTGGGAAATCTGCTTCCAAAAACCTCTCTCTCACAAACGATCCTTGTCAAAACACATTGTTCCCTCACTGTTAATTACCTGAGGCTCCGACTCCTCCCCTTCAAGTTCTTTGAAAAGATCCTCTGCTCCAAATTTCAGAATAGCTGTCAGCTCTTCTTTATTAAAAGGATTTGAACTGTGAAAGTAAAATGCAGTTGTAATCCCTTAGGATATCAAGTAACCTCTGTGGAGTTCTACTTTGTATCTGTCATTCATTAGGGGGTCAAATTACTGGTGAAAATATAAATTCTGTCATAAGAAAAATGATCCTCAAATATCTTATTTTTATCCACAGGATGTGTGGGAACTCTGACCCAGGAAAAGACTAGAAATCAATTCTCCTCCTGTTGGCTCATCTATTACATGATTAAACGAGACAGGTAATTAGCAACATGAAGTAAGGAAAGTCTGCCTCTGTCCTTTGACTCAGAATGTTACCATTCATTCACCAAGAATTTTCAACCTGCTCACCTCTGGTCCAAAATAAGAGAACCAAGCTTCTACCTAGATTGCTCTACAGTGGAAAATCATCTGAAAATATCCTGTTCATGAAAAGCTCACTTGACTCCACCTATATCAAAGCTACAAAGACCAGCAGAGAACACACTCAGCAATTTGGTCAAAATGTAAATTCTTTAAGAGAAATAGTTGTGCTTTCAAATAAAGATCGTAACTACCTTCCTTTTGTTTCGGTAGGAAAGATAACAATTTCCACACAAACATTTTTACCCACAGTAAGAAAACAGCTGCCAATTCAATCTGGTGAAAAGTTCAAGGCAACAGTATGCCAGGATGAAGCTGCTGTGTCATGTGTCACATGCGGAGCCAATCGCACGAGGCCAGAGAAGGACAGGAAAGAGAGAGTGAGCAAGATGGAGAGGAGGAGAGGGCAAAAGCACACATATGCAAAGGGTTGATAAGGAAAAGAAATAGGGAAAACAAAATAAAATAAAAAGGCTATCTTCTTGCAGTCTTAGTCGTTTCCAGATAAGTAAAGGCCTCTAACATCTGTTGTACAAAGTCCTATTAGAAGAATGAATGATACACCAAATGTTGATGTAAAATCAGCCTGACTCCGCTGCCTCCCATCCCTTTGGCACTCACTTGGACCTTCCCGAGTTGTTTTCCAGGACCGTCCGGCCAGTGGTGTCCATGCGCTGAATCACCAGATGGTCCAATACCATCTTCTTTTTGGCCCGTTCTATGATCTCTTCCTCCACGGTCCCCTTTGTAACCAGGCGGTAAATATTTACCTGTAGGAAAAAGAAATGTTAGACTTATGCCCGATCACACCAAAAAATGAAGTTACACCTGTCTAAAACCAGGAGGGGAAATGAAAGATCTATTCTCTAGCACCATAAAATGACTGTAAGCTACCCACCCAAGCAGACAGCTTAAACAGATGCACTATTTTTACTCTCTGCAGCAGGTTACACTTTAAATAAGACTGCCTTCAAGGAATTATGATAGCCTTGTTCTAGAAATAAAAAATCTTGCTAAAACAATCCATTTCACAAAAACTGGATCTTTGGCCGAGTATGAAACTTACGAGTTACCCAATACTAAAGCAAACTTTGAAATTCATATACAAAGGAAATAAGTATATATTTTTCCCACATTCCTTAGAGCTAGAATTGGTCACATATAATAAAAACACACCATGTTGAACGATGCTAAAGAGAATATTTAACAACTTTTCCATACTAAAATAGATGGAAATTTTCAGTTCTTGGTCAATTCATCATTTATCTCTCTTTGAGTAAACCAGAAAGTCACCGGTGACATACTTTTTAAACAGCAAAAGAGAAGCGTTCCTTAATAGGCTCATCTTGGCCCCAATGACAGCTTCTCTGCACTAATTAACAACAACAAAAATCTTCCCTTGGGAAATGAAGATGAACAGGAAAAAGTCAATTCACAAAACATCCCGAAAGGCCTAAGGAACTCCTCTCCCCGCCCCCCCAAGACATATCCAGAAGCCTCTCCCCACTGACCTGCTTCTTCTGACCAATCCTGTGGGCTCGGGCTTGTGCCTGCAAGTCGTTCTGGGGGTTCCAGTCAGAGTCAAAGATGACGACTGTGTCCGCTGAAGCCAAATTGATTCCCAGGCCACCAGCCCTTGTCGAGAGCAGGAAACAGAAGTCCTGTACACAATGCAATATACTACTTTATGCAGTGGCCTTCTCAGAAACAGTTTCACAGTCCAATAAGCCCTTACACCTGGAAACCCCTGCAGGTGTGAAGAAAAGTGAGATATGATGGACAAACTTTATGGAGGCTACAAGAATGTCAGGGACTTGACGGACGGCAGGGTGAATTTTCATTCAATTAGGAGGTAAGAGTCAGTACAACGAACTAGGAGTAAGGTAGGATCTGATAAGGCAATAGCAGCAAAACATTTATGTTCGCACCTGGCTAAAACTAGCATACAAGCAGTAACAAAAACTAGACAAACGTAATTATCAAGTGGCCTAGACGCTGACTTTCCACGGGGAGATCGATTGTGCCATGTAAGGCAGTCATGATAAACAAGGACCCTGTTCTGTAAACATCCCTCCATCTGTCAGGCTGGGGAGGACACAGAAACGGCGCACTCCGAGGCCACGTGACGGGACTGGTGAGAAGCAGGGCAGCCTCCATCCCCGCAGGACATGCGCGGAGAAACCAGAGCCGGTGTGGCCCGAGAGCTGCGTGTGCGGAAGGCCTAGGCACTGCTGGCACACTCCAGGGTTCACACCAGTGACAACAGAGACTGGGCGGGCACAGTACACCTGCCCATGTCTCAGTGCTCAGAAAAACACGGGCATGAGGCAGGAAGTAAACTATGTGAGCTAGATAAATAGAAGTCAGACTTCCATTTTCAGAGCATTTGATCATGTATGTCAAAGGTTGGCACAGAAGTAGCACTCAAAAACTGACAGTTCTGAGTTGTTGTCGTTGTTGTTTTTTAGTTTTTAGGGGTTTGTGGGTTTTTTTTAGTTTTTATTTTTAGAGAAAGGGAGAGGGAAGGAGAAAGAGAGCGAGAAACATTGATGTGAAAGAGAAACATCAATCAGTTGCATCTCACATACACCCCAACCAGGGACCAAACCCGCCACCCAGGCATACGCCCTCACTGGGAATTGAACCTGCAACTCTTTGCTCTGTGGGATGACGTCCAACCAACTGAGCCTGAGTTATGTTCTGATAAATGGGTACACATTCAATATACAAACATATGCATGACAAGGTCTCCATGTTCTAACTAGAGTCCCAGTGGCCAATGGCACGCCACAGAAATAAAAATGGAGACAGCTGTCTCCATTTTTGGAGAACGTTAAATAATTCCAGTAAAGAACTGATTAATGAGGATGTTGACGCACATGCTCTGTGATCCTTGGTAAAACACCAAGTGACACCAAAACGCTAAAGAAACCTACAGGTAAAGAGGACATTTCAGAATGAAATATCCAAAACTTAAAATCTGGGGTCTGACTGATCTCATTAGCCATTTTCAAAGTCTCTCTTTATCAAAGATAATATGAACTATAATAAGATGTTCTTTGTGTCCATTGTCAAATTGGCAAAGGTTAAAAATTATGCAATTCAAAGAAGCTAAGGGTGAAATATTGGAAATATTCATACGTAAACACTATGAATATCAATTATTTGGGGAAAGTAAATTAACAAAATGTATCAGAAACCTTTTTTAATTGTTCATATGCTGTTACCTAAATATCCGACAACAAAGTGGCTAAATAAGTAACGGTACAGGTATGAGAAAATATCAGAAATTAAAAAAATTTTAAATCTTTAATAACAAAGAAAAATGCTCAGCATATAATTTTTAATGAAAGGTGGTAACATTGTCCGAATCAGGTAAACATATAAAGAAATAAATGGTTTCACTCAGTATTAAAAGGAAATACACCCCAATGATAGGAATAAATAGCAAGTTGTCTCTGGAATGGGAGTTTTGCACAATTTCTTATTTGTGCCCTTTCCCATCTCCTAAATCTTCTACATGTGCATATATTTCCCCCAATGACTAAATAATTCTTTTTAAATTAAGTTAAAAAGACTCAAATTTGTAGAAAATGGTAGAGAACCTGTACTCTATATGTAGCCATGGGGCAGGGGGATCAATTGAGAACTAAGGAAAAAAAGGAATTTGGGCCTTTTTTCTGAGCAAACACGGTATGAACCACCCCACTCTCACTATTTTTTAAACTTGGAGCAGGGAACACGAAAACAATTTCGACAAATACTAACAGAAAAGCTAGCATTCACTGAGGGCTCACTGTGTGCCAGGCCATGTGCTCAGCGCTGAGCGTTGGCTACCGCATCTCCTCCTCGCAGCAGTGCCATGAAGGAGGTATTGGAATTACTGCAATTTTACGATGGAGGAGACAGGGAGGACCGACAGGAGGAACGGGAATGAGCTCGAGCTCAGTAATTCAGTTCCTCTTCTCCATAACTATTCGAGCCTTGGTTCTGAGCAGATTAGAGCCCCAAGCTCCTCAGGAACTAAAATTTCAGGCTAGAGAAGTCAGAAAACCACAGTTTAACTAGGACTACACGCAATTCCGGAGGTAGAAGGCATGCCAGTCTGGAGTATGAGACAGAAGTTAAGAGCGTGAAGCTCTTCAGAAAGCAGGAAGCCAAGTCTGTTCTGTTTATACAAAACAGTGGCCCAGACTTCTGAAGTTCTACCATTCTCTCCAGAGCACTTCTCAGTCCACTCTGGGTCTCTCCACAGCTTCCTTTCCCTCCACCAACAGCAAAGCTCTTCTCCCCACTTCCCTCCAACCCCACAGTTCTTTACAGTTTGATGTGCACCAATGACAACACTACCGTGGTTCCCAACTTGTCCTAAGTGGCTCTCCTGTATGTCTAAAAAGTGAAATACTCTGTAGCACCACATTCAAGCTGGATGCTACAGTAAATGTTGCTGTCAGCCAAAGCAAGATCATTAAGTCACTTTGTACCAGGGTCTAACGAATTTGAGACATGGCAAACGTACTTTACAAGACCCAAAGTCACCAAAAAAGTATAGATTAGAACCTCCTGGTACTAAAGATATGTCAAAATTAGCCTACTGGCCAGCCCTCCCCCACCTTCGCCTGGCTGGTTTCCTAGGCCCAGAAGCTTGGTATCTGGAAGCCACCAGAGAAAACTCAGTTGATATCAGAACTGTCATTAATCCACACCAGGGAGGTAAACAAGCATGCATTTGCTTTCCTGGAGTGAACACAGAATTAAGAGACACCTTTTATGTTAGTGATTTCTCATTTCCTTCTCCTGACAGGAGAATTGCAGTGAATTATTCCTGAAACGGATTATATTGAGCCAAAAGGGCTTGCCCTTGATACAGAGCCCAAGCTGTCCCAAAAGCAAAGCCATGCAGGGTGTACCTCAGAACCATCTGCATTGAAGTGGTCCAGCGCCTGTTTTCGGATTTCTCCCTTGATGGAACCATCCAGACGCTGTAAAAATAAACCACAAGGAAATCATAAGGTAGGAAGATCAGCTTCACTCAGAATAGAACACCAGACCTGCAACCTTTATCAGCGCAGCACCCACTGGGTAAAAATAACTGGAATGCCCCGGCAATGTGCTGTCTGGGGCTGTGCTTAATTAAGCAGCCCGCTCTACTTGCCCCAAGATCTCCCGTTACAAACTCAAGGTCAGAAGCTTCTGAATCAAAGGGCTATCTGGGTTCATCCAAGGATCAGAAAGGCTGCCAAGACCTATAAGGAAAAGAAGGCAACCCAAGCTCTGGTTTGAGGCTTTGTTTGCTTCTGCATCTGTGGGTACTGAGGAGACGAGGAAATACTACCCCTGGTCACCTAATAATTAGCTCCTGGGGAAAAAAAAAGCTTCATAGCTAATGTAGCTAAAATTTGTCCGGTTATTAAGTATTACACAAACAAAAAAATTATTTTCATCCTTTTGTTTGAAAAACATTTTGCAATAACAGAGAATGTTGAAAATTAAGTTGGTCATATAGCCCAGCTTCTCAAAATTGCACTCTAAAATGAGAGCCAAGTTCAACCAGCAAAATAAATGCATCTTTAAGAGAGCCTCTAACATTTCCTGGTACATAAAATGCTTTGGAGCATGTCAGTTCTAAGCAAAAATAAAATGTCAACATACAGAAACCACATATGTAAAATAAAAAGTAAAGATTACCTGTATGTTGTACATATAAAGCCCTTTCCACTCTAAAAATCATTTTAGTATTTCTTTCCCTCACAATCACCAGGGAGGACAAACAAAATACCTCGTTTTGCAGAAGGCAAAACTGACCCAAGAGAGGATGTCAGCTGGCCAATGACCAGTGACTGGCTGGGGACACCCTATGGAAGGACCTACATTCCCCCAGCTCACAGGTCTGCCGACCAGCCCCAGAGCCACCTGACCCCAAGTGGAAGCATACACAGGAACCCCCTTCTTTCAGATGAAGAGCCTCAGCCAACAGGTAAGTTTAAGTGGCAGGTTCACCGCCTTTATTTGAAATCCCAAAACCCAAATGGTCCCATTTAACATTCCCATTAATAGAAGACATTAGACATGATAAAGCTGAATGACTCCAGCCTACTTTTTCCCTGGAGAGAAAAGAAATGCATTATTTGACTTGATATCAAATGATTACTAGACCTGAAAGCTCACAGGGACCCAGTGCCTAACAGTGTACTGTATTTTGGTAATAACCACAGTACTAAACTATATGCTGTGACAGCTACTGAAAGACCACACAAGATGTCAGGGATATAGCAATGCCCTCCAGGGTATTTAGAAAGACAATCTATTAAGTTAGTTTTAAAGCTCAGCCTTCTTAGGAGAGTCACTGACTCCAAGTTTCTTCAATATCAGCAAAACTAGGCGAGTTGGCAGAACAGTCCATCCATTCAAAGTTAAAGAGAAAAACTATTTAAATAAAACTTAAAAATCAAAATGTTTTAAAAATATTATGCCAAGAGTAAAGGTAGATCGCAGACACATCTATACATAGCTCAGAAATCAGTTTCCCATAGTCTTACACCCAGAAAAATATTATGCTGAAGAAACTCTTTTCCACAAACTTTATTTTTCTTATCTCATAGGAGATAACTGAACAAAGACAAAAATCAGCATTAACAAGTCTGCAGAAGAAAAGGGGACCGTCGCCACGTGCTTCAGGGACCAGCAAGCTTCAGGCACACTGTTCCGCTGAGTCCCCGGCCCCACAGCCAGGGCTGGCCTCCCGGGAGCAGGAGCACGACACTGCCACCTCTCCTTTTCTGTCGAGGGCTTCGGTTTCTGTAACCAGGTTCCCGCCTCCTTCCTCTCTACCTTCAGCCCGGACTTGGGGAGGCCAGACATCGTCTAACAGGCTTTTCTCTTGCCCAGTTTTGCCTTCTCTCATCCCCCCCAAAAAAGAAAAATGATCTTCATGCAACCATGCTCATTATAGGGTTAGAGCATAAAGGCATGGAAGTAAAAAACCAAGACCTCCCTGGAGCCTTCATCTCAGCTTGTTTCACACAAAGGAACTCTTGTTCACTACGGCAGGGTAATTCAGCAAACAAAGCACAGAACCCAGGGGAACGGAGGGAGGGAGGGAGTCCAATTACCGAGCGCCCTTACCTGGAAAGGGTAGTGCTTAATAGTCAAGTACTCGGCCAGGATATCCAACATCCTCACCATCTGGGAGAAGATGAGGACTCTGTTCCCCCTTTCTCGGAGCCTGGTCAACAGTTTATCCAACAGAATCAGCTTCCCGCTGCTCCTGATCAGGGACTGAAGATTGAAAAGACATTCCAACGTTTAAAATCCTGCAGTCTGCCCTTCCTCTCTACGAGTTCTCATTTTTAAAATCACATTTAAGCTTTCTGAAGCTCTCTGTAACCTAAGTGACATATTTCTAGCAATTCCTGAAATGCTCTTTACCTGTCATCGATGACGTTATTGACACCACAATACTTCCGGATTTTTCCTAGCTATGTTAACTGTTCGCACCTGTTTTTAAAGCCCCTTCTGATGCTTGAGTCATTTTGATAAGCAACTGTAAAAACTAAACTGTGTCTGAGAAAGCAATGAGAACAGGATAGCAAGCACACACCGTGAGAACCTCCTGTCCATTCTCCCTCTCGTTTTCCTCGGGCGGTTTAATCAGGTAGCAGTGGTTACAGCACTTCTTCAGTTCCATCACGATATTCAGGAAGCCGGACGTGCTGCCTCTAGTTCCTTTGGCGAGAGCCTTGTAATTCCTGGTCAGGATCCATCTGCAAATTACAGATGATAATGACACTCTTAGATGCAAACAACAGAGTTGGGGTATGCTATGAAAATACGGATAGTGAATCTGGATCAAATCAACCCTCTACACTAGTCTGTGACTGCACAGGAAACCAAGTATCCACAGTAAACTATGAAATAATGCCACAGAGCTAGAATCAGCAAAATCAAGGCAACACAGACCCAAGTTTCTTCACTCAAAGAATTTACAAGGACAGACGGAGACAGGTTAAAATAAACTTAAGGGACATGACAACCAATCCTAATGAACAGAACATACTCAGATCCCAGTGCAAACAACCAACATATGTGTGAGCAGATGCATGTGCACATAAGTGTGCACATGCATCTGCTCACACATATATTTATGACACCTATTATTTATGACAACCAAAAAAACTGTAAACACTGGACATAAAAATACTAAGAAATTATTGATTTTTCTTAAGGCATGATAACAGTACTGATATCATGCTTGACTCTTTTTTTAAACTGGGGTATAACTGACACATTGAATTAATTTCATTACATCACATTACGGTTCAGTATTTGTACATACTGCGAAATGATCACAGTAAGTCCAGTTAACATCTGTCACCATAGAGTCACAATTTTTCTTCCTTATGATGAAGACTTTTTTAATCCGTTCTCTTATCAGCTGAGGTCACAATGTGGTGCATCACACTCCCACGTCTGACTCATTTTGTACACAGAAGTCTGTGCCCTTGGAGCCGTTTCACCCATAGCAACTGCCCATCTGTCTTCTCTATAAGCTTGGGGTGAGGTTCTTAAACTTGATTTTGGGGGGCTTATCTTTTTGCTTAACTCTGAGAAAAAGAGTCCCTATTTTTTAGATGTATGGGAACATTTATGCTATGTACCTGGAACATGTTTCAAATGACAGAAGGGCAGGAATGGGGACACAAAAGGAGATCTGGAGGAACTGAGAATGGCCCTGAGCCAGCACCGATGAAGCTGGACTGTGGGGGTACGTGACTCCACTCTATTCTGTGTCTGTATGCAGTATCGACAGCTCCCATAAAAAATATTTTTTTTAATCAAGGGAGTGTCAGACAAACGGGTAAGAGAGTTAAGTACTGAAAATTCAAATCTTGTTCTTAGCCACTTTGTATAATTAATGAAGAACAAGCAGGGACCGTTAAGATGGCCAAACTTCTAACTTCAAAAGGCTAGAGCTTTTATGGCAATATCATTTGTTACAATTACTCCAGATCCACCTTTAAATCATCAAAATGAAAGGCCAAGCGTCACAAGCACGCTGGATGCTGCTCTCTGTCCTAAACCCACCGTTTTGCCTTTAACATATTACAGCCTAGACCCAGGCCATACGCTCCCCGTGGCTCCTGGAGCACCTCCGCCTTCAGAACTTTTCCTTCTGACCTTCCATCCACAGCCCCAGCACACACCTCAGTGTGAACAGCGCTCCTAACTGTCCCCAGTTTGTCTTCCCTACCAAACAAACAGAAAGGCTCTGGCAAGAACACATTCCACTCATCCTCGTATTCCCAGTATCTACAGGATGCTTGGCATTATCTCAAAACCTTAAATGACTGAGTGAGTGGCAGAGTATATAAACAAGCCTGCTTACTACTAGTAGGGGGTTAGCACTGAGAATTCACATATGCTTCAGACCAGTTACAGAACGGAAGTACTGTGCACCCTCTCACCCAAATAAAAAAGCAAGGATAATAAGATGTCCTCTGACCATTACATTGCTCCTTAAGTCTGTGCTGAGACATCACAGAAAGAAACAGTTGGTTTGTCAGTTACCCCTCTCATGGCTTCGTGGCATTGACCCCAACCCCATCAGGCCTAACCCAGCCCATAACTTACTTGTAATACTGTTTCTGAAGGGCCGACATCTCCACCCTGAGAATCTGCTCCACTTTGGCAGGCAGGGATTTCTCCACATCTTTTTTCACTCTCCGGAGAAGGAAAGGCTCTAGCACCTTGTGAAGACTCTGGTAGCCGTTCTCTCTCCCTTTCCCGTGGTCTTCTTCGAAATCTTCCCAGAACTCAAACCTGGAGATGAAACAATAGTGTTACTTAGCTACGTAGTAGAAAAAGGCATTTTTCCCCAAAAAACATTTTTAAAGGAACTAAGTGATTAAAAAAAAATCTTCCCCATAGGGAAAGATAAATCTTATCTGTCACTAGCCCTTGAATATAAGAGAGGGGGAAATCAAATGAATTAAGTTCACCAGTCCACACTGGATAACAGTTTTCCAATTTTGAGAATGCACCTAGAGTTCACGAAACATTTCAGTATGTCACGCAATCAGTATATGCACAAACACAGTAAGTCACTGTGTGAAATATTATGCAGAAAAAATATCGATAATCTTTTAATAAGCTTCAATTCCTTGGGAAAATAAAATCCCAAGGTAAAAGAATAATCAGTGGCAGTATTAGAGCTGTCGCTGCTCAAAGGTGAAAGCTATGTAATTTCCATCAATAATCTTCACTATTCACAGACTGAAAAGTTAATGGATTATAACAACAGAAAAAGACAACAGCCCTTAGACAAGAACAATACAACTGATATAAAGTTATTAGTGCAATCTGCAGACATAAATTTTATTAAGGAATTTAAAAACTTGTCTCTCGTGTGGTTCTGCCTGAACTCTAGACAGAAGTTTCTCACATTTAAATTTTAATTCAACCATCTTCGGTTCACACTAAAAGACTTGTGGCAGAAATCCAGAATTGGTCGTTATGACCAATTTTCTTCAAAAATAAAAAAGGAATGAGGAAAATTTGTTTTACGAGGATCAGAAAAACATACTTTGTCTTGCCACACAAACACCCACGTGGAAGAACTAGCCTCGTTTTGTGTGCAGACAAGCTCAGTAGGTGAAAGGGCGCCTGTGACCGAGGCCACAACTGGAAGCTTAGTCACTGCCGTGGCCTGCTCTCCGACACCAGGAGGCCCAGCCCGGCTGAGGCCAGGCAAGTCCCAGAATGACAAACTGGAGTGACTCGACATTACCCGGGGGTGAGACGCTGGGTCACTCAAGGACTCAGAGCACAAGCTCTTTGGCAAGATGGAGAGTCAGGGACAGTAATGGCCACCAGGCACAAACAACGGCATCAACCGCATCTGGGGCTACTCCTGAACTCATCATAAACGGCCAGGCACTGTGTCAGGGGCCGCCAGGTGGGTCAACACAAGCCTTAGAGACAGCCCCAGCATTGTTAAACCTCTACCAAAATGATCAAGAAAAAGAGACAAGACACTAGTTACCGCAACACAAAAATAACATCACTACTAATCCTTCAAAAATCAAAAGGATGAGGAAATATTGTAACTTTATGTCAAGAAATAGGGCAAGTTAGAGGAAATGCACAAATTCTTAGAAAGACACATTTTAACAAAACTAAACCAAGAAACAGAAAACCAGAACAGACCTGTAACTGGAAACTGAATTAGTCATTAAAAAAATCTCTCACAAAGGAAACCTAAGGCCCACAAATATGCACCAGTGGAAAAGAACTGAGAATCCAGAAACGGACCATTACATTTACAGTCTCAACTGATTTTCAACAAAGGTGCCCTGACAATTTAATAATGAAAGGGTATTCTTTTCAACAAATGGCCCTGAACAATTTCCAAAATCCCTCTGCAAGAAGGATGAACTTAGGCCCTCACACTTAACACTATAAACAAAAAAGTAACTCAAAATGAAATGCAGACCTAAACGTAAGAACTAAAACTTCTACAAGAAAATAAGAAAATCTTTGCAAACTTATGTGAGGCAAACATCTTATTTTACATCAAAACACAATCCATTTTAAAAAACAGTAGCAGTGTACTTCATCAAAGTTAACTTCTGCTCTTCAAAAGGCAACATTAAGAAAATGAAGAGACAAGCCACAGACTGGGACGGATACTTGCAAATCATACACTACTAGCAAAGCATTTTCATCTAGAATACCAAAAATAAAGAAAAAGAAGTTAAAAACCTGTTTAACACAGAAGACAGATGATCCAACTTTTCAGTGAGTGAAAAGACTTGAAAAGACATTTTACCAAAGATATACAAATGGCTAATGAACTGATGAAAAGAGGTTTAACATTACTCGTCATTACAGAAATCCAAGTTGAAACCATGACATGCCACCACACACCCAGGATGGCTAGAATCCAAATGACTGACAATACACCAAGTACAGTACTGGTGACGATACAGAGGGAACTAGCAAACTGAAACATTTCTGATGGGAACATGCAATGGTACAGTCTCTTTGGACAACAGCCTGGTAGTTTCTTAAGAACTATATACTTTCCTAGCAACCCAGCAATTCCACTCCTAAACATCTAACCAAGGGAAGTAAAATGTACGTCCACACAAGAACACGACAGCTCAGCACTAAAACAATCCAAATGTCCATTAAATGAATAGGCATACAACGGAGTATTAGTCCACAGTAAGAGAATAGTCCCTGATTAACTATGACAAAGGTGAATCTCAGAAATATTATGCTAAGTGAAAGGAGCCAAAAACAGAAGCCTACTTATCAGGAACCCATTTATGCAGAATCTCTAGGAAAGGTAAATCGCTACAGAGGAAAGCTGATTCGTGAAGGCCTAAGATTGCAGATAAAAGCAGAGATTAAGGGAATTTTGGGGGGTGAAAAAATATTCTAAAACGAGATTACGGTGATAGATGCACAACTCTACAAATTTACTAAAAATGTTCAATTGTATCCTTCCAATGGTATGCTTTATGGTGTGCTAATTATGTTGAAAAGTTGTTTTAACAGTTAACACCACATGGGGGGGAAGGGACCATTTCTGTGTTGGTCATTAGGCTACCCATAATGCCTTGATCGGTGTATGACTCACAGTAGGCACTCTTATCTTTTTTAAATTGTAGAAAAGGCAGGAGCATTCACCTGCCAGTTTGACACCCCTCAACCGCACTGCTGACTGGGTGCCAGGTCCTATTCTTGGCAATCAAGTGCAACAGATCCCTGTTACGTCTGGACTCATAATTTAATGACATGAGAAGGATGAGGGAATGAAAAAAAAAAAAGGTGTCATATAGAAAATGCAACAGGGTAGGGATGGTCAGCATGTCTAACAGGCTACTTTAGGTTGGATGGTCTGAGAAGGCCTCTAAAAAGAGGTAGTCACATAAGCTAAGGCAATAGTGTTAAGTGACTGGCCAGGTGAAGACAAGGAGAAAATTCATTGCAGACCAAAGACATGGCAATGGCATGGCATGCTACAGGAACGAAAAGATGGCCAGAGGGGACGACGCAGAATGAGCGGTGGAGAAAGAGGAACGATACGCGTCGGGTACCGTCAAGGGGCAGACTGAATAGGGTCCTTCACATCAGGGCAGCCAGTACAGATTTCATTTTAGGCATCATCAACCACCAGTGGGTAATTTTAACTTTTATGAAACTGGATACCATCTCTCCCAAAGAAATCTTTAATGAGTTAAAGACTGGAATAAGACCTTAAGCTGATGCTTCTGTTAGCAAAGGTTTGGATTTAAGTATTTCTAATGCTTGTCAGATTATGTACCTTATAGACTTCATTTAATTTTTACTCAGTACCTTGTAAGAACAGTGAGAAGGTCTGATGTTTCCTATTTACTCATTATTTCCCCAAAGCAGTAACGGATTCAAATATTTGGTAGACAACCTTCCCTCCCTAACAGGCTGATTTCTCTGCCTTCTGTCATTTATTATGGAACGCTGTAATACATTTGTTCCTCCCTCAGTCAATGCTTTGCTTTCCCCAAAACATGCCATCCATTTTCCCTAAGGTCTACTAAAAAAAGAGTTAAAAAGCATTGGCATTTCAGACATTCCAGCATGTTTTGAAATACACAGTAAGGAGCTTACTTCTCCGGCATAATAAAGTGCAGCAAGGACCAGAGCTCTTTGAGGGAATTCTGAAGAGGGGTCCCCGTAATCAGGAGCCTATGGTTGGACTTGAAATCAATCAGAGTTTTATACAATAAAGAGTCATCATTCTTCAACCGATGGGCTTCATCCACTCCCAGAAAGGCCCAGTTAATACTGCCCAGCACAGTCTGAAGTGAAAACAAAACAGAACGAGCCACCAGGTCAGAAGGGAACCCAAAAGTGCGTTCAAGTGTTAATCATCTCTGTACAAATACCACCACAAAGGTATACACAGGAACATTTATTCTCTGCTGACTTAAAGTACACAAAGACTCTTCTGTTTATTTTAGTTGGTTGCCAGATTTATGTCTACTCAAAAGGGCACATCCTCCTGGAAGAGATATAGGGAATCTCTTATGCCAGGTATTGCTGTGTGCTCTTAAGAAAGAATGCAAAAATTGATATGCTGGGCGAAAAAAAACACAGAAAAACAAAAGAAAGTGATTTGGCAGTCTCTCCTTAGTGAATATTCTTCTCTCCCTGTTCTCCAGCCCCACTGTGAAGCACAGAAACATCAGGAGTCACCAAACTGACCTTTACACTTATTTATCACCAATGGGATCACCTGTCACATACATTTCTTAGTAACAATAGAAAGGAGATAACTTGGAAGAGTTCCGTTTTCTGCCCTCCTCATCACAGAGACTGTCCCCACCGAGTGCTCTGGAGAAACCTTAGCAAGGACAGGATGGCTCTCAGGCCCCGTTTCCAACACCTGACTAGAACCTCAGGGAAGTTACAGGTCTCAATACACCTGCATCCTGCATCATTCAACTGGACCAGGTGACCTAAGGCCCCCTTCAGCTGCGAGGTTCTAATTTTTATTAACAACCTTCAAATTCTTTCTGGATTTGTCTGTTCATTTGTTTGCTTTTTTAAAGAAATAAAGACAGATAACATGGTAACTGGGGGGTATAAACCCCACCATTTGGATAAGTCACTCTAGAAAACTTAGCCTTTTAGCTACCAGTTACATACCTTATCTTTTAGGAGGATCTCGTATGTTGTAATAAGTGCATTGAACTTGAGCCTTTTGGTCTGAGAATGAATCCATTCATATTCCCGTATCTATAAAAGAAAATGATAATTAAAATACAATTTCCACTTTTACTTTTCTCTATCACCAGCAAGTCTTATGACATGCAACAGAAACATGTTCAACTAAAAAATCTGATTAGAATTTAACAAATACCGTACACATTCTAAAATGACATAATTTAAGCATAAAGCAGTAAAAGAATTAAAAGGTCTATCACTGAGCGGCAAAAACATTACTGCCAGAATTCAAATAAACTGTCGTTTCCCTTCGCCCCTCCAACCCCAACACAATTGAGCAAGTGATGCATTTCGTCAGCAATTAATTCCCAAAATGAGGGTTTTCTTAAGGAAATATAATCTGATTATTTCTCTGGGCAAGGCAATACTTTTATTAACGAGTAACTCCACCCACTAGCTGGGTCAGAAATTTCATTAATCACAGGGCACAGAGATATGGGCCCCAAGGAAGAGGAAAGTGAGGGTTAACAGATGAAAACAGCATTTAACACGAGTAAAAACAATGTCAACGTGAAGGGAACACAAAAGCTGACACATTCTCAAGGAGGGTGTAACTGGACACCCAGCCAGCAGCACGAGGGCCCGCGACACAGCTCTGCCGTTTGCTTGACAAGTTAGAAAAGGACACGAAGAACAAGGAGTACATGTGGCCGATCACCGCCAAAGGGGAAAGAAAGAAAAAAAAAAATAGTGAGGACCATTAAGAAAACTTCCCTGATGCCACAATTTTTCAGAGTTCTCCTTGTCTTCGTTATTACATAAAGAGCAATCTAAAAAGTTTATTTTTCTTTCGTAATGGTTAAAAAAAATAAATTAGCAAAGCTAAAAACTATTCTATGCTTAGAAATTCAAAATTAGGGCAATGAAATCTGCCAGGGATTAGGTTAGACAATGAAAACATCTAATAAAAATAAATTTGAATCAGTCTGATAATACATGACTCTAACATTTCCCTCAAAGGTTTCTGGATTCCTGATGATTTGCTTGCATTTATACAAGCAGCACCCGGGAAACAGCACACTCAAACACACGGGGTGAAAGAGCAGGCGTGTGGGCCCAGACACGTCTCTGTCCCACCCCACGTTCCAGGGGCCTGGGGACCAGTGTGAAACTCTCAGTCAGTATCTTCCTCGGCTGGCTGGAAAAATCATGGTCTACTCTGAAGACTATCGTGAGGACTACAGGCAACATACATAAAGCACCAAGCACAGGGCCTGGCACATAACAGGTGCTTCTTAAAAAAGTTATAGGTATTATCAGGAAAAGAACTGCCAAACAAAGATAAACATTAAGGCCCAGTGTTCTGAGTTTCTGATGCTAAGTGTGATAACAGGCAAATCTCCCTTCTGCCACCTTGGAATGGCTCCTTGTCCTTTCCCCTTATCCCTTGCTTGTAAGTTACGCAACCTCACCATTTTAATTAATTTTTGTTAAGTTTTAAATTTTTTTCAATTACAAACAGCAACAATAATATTAACATTCTATAAGGTATTAACTCCTTCTTATAACCCTTCATAAGTAAAGTGGTCTTGAAAGTACAGAAGACAGAAGAAAAAATTAATACTGCAATCTAAGAGATTCCCTCACGAATTTTCTTTAAATACAGTAAGCGTATTTTAAAGAACATCTAAGTTGCATTTTTGTGATACATATTATCTCTCAGTATCAGGGGCACAGCAGTGTCAGAATCATAATTTTACTAAACACTATAATGGGTACAGGTCAATTTCCAAAACACATTCATCACACAGATTCCATCCCAGTTCTTTTGGTTTACACACCGTATTTCTGCTCATCAGGTCACCTATGTAAACCACTACGTTAATCTCTGGTGCCCAGATCTCAAACTCCCTCTGCCATGAGGTGAGGGTGGATAAAGGGACGACTATAAGAAAGGGGCCATACAGCTGGTGTTGGTGGAACAGGTAGGAGAGGAACGATATGGTCTGGATGGTCTTTCCTAGGCCCATTTCATCAGCAAGGATTACACTGTTACTTCTGCAGGGAGAAAAAAGAAAAATCATTAGTTCATTCTCACACACACACACACACACACACACACACACACACACACAGTATGTGCACAGAGAGCAAGGACACCACTGCCCCACTCTGTCACCAAGTAAGACATTTCGTAGTGAGCCTCAACTGTATTTCCTCTCACCTGCAGTCAAGCCTCCTACATAAAATAGGACAAGCTACAAACAACAATGAGTGACCTAAGCATGGTCAAGACTTGGATTACTGCAAGCGCCTACTCAGACCATGTTCCTGACCTTGCCTTTGGTCTCCTACGTATATCTCTTGTAACAGAGAAGGCACGTGGACTCAAGCACATGACCTTGGCTTCCAATACTGAAAGCAGGGCAGACTGGCTAGCCCCACTGTAGTGAACCGACTGCCTGACAGTCACGAGTGTCTGCTCGAGTTACCCACCCAGTCCACTGCATGCCACCACGTTGTTCAGTGCTACACACACTGCCCCTAGGTCTATGTGCTGCTGTGCATACAGCTTGTTTTAAATACACCACAGTCTACAGCAGGGGTAGGCTGTAGGGTCCTGAATTCTGCCCCCGCACCTACTGAATCAGAGTATCTGTGAAAAAGCTCGGGAATCTGCATTTTTAACAAGCACTTCTGCATACTCTGATGCAGGTGTATTCCTGGGACCACACTTTGGAAAGCCCTGCTTTAGCACACGGGCTGGATTTGAGCAGGACACCAATAGGGACAGGACTGTGCAGAGATAAGGGGGGAAAAAATGACGAAATGGCCAGAGTCAGGAAAAGTATGTTCAGAAAATAGTAAATAGCTTATTCAGCAAAAAATTAGGAATACATGTATGACACAGGTTGCAAATATTAAAAGTTTCTTGAAAATCGGGCCACTGAAGGTTTACACACATATAATCCATGTTTATGCAGTGAAGCAGAGAATGTGGGACTGATACGCAAGTTAAAGACAACTTAACTGAATAAACGAGACATTCACTAGGAAAAGATTAAACTTGTAATTTAGGGAAAAAGCACACAAAAGAACGAAGCAGAACATATTCAAGGAAGGGAAAAGGAGAAGGCCATTTCTCTATAAATCTCAGACACACCTATGTTATGTACTGTTCAGACACAGCGTGTTCCTGAGTCCTCATTATGTCTCTCACCTTTCCACTCTGCTGACAGGAAATGATCAATTTTCAGCAACATTCATTTCCTCTCCCTAACAAACTTTTCTCCCTAGAATACTGTATTCAAAAACTGGTTGAATCTGTGGATTTGAAAGGCTGACTGGACTTCCCCAGAAAGGAATTCTCTCCATCTCATAATTTTCTTACTTCTACAATACACAGGAGAAAGAAGTAATGCTTTGCATCTAACAACAAAGAAGCCAGCAGCAGTACAGACAATTCCGAACATCTTTTTCTACCTACTTGCACCAGGAATGAGCAAGCCAGTTGAGGCCTTCTAGCTGATAGTCACGGAGCTCTAGATTTTCCCCTCCTAAATATGCCGGCTGTTTCTTTAAAGCTACAAAGCGTGGTCTCTGCTTCAGGGCCTGAAAAACAAAAATTAGCAAAGTAAAGATCTCCCCAATATCTGATGAACCTTTGTATCAATACATCTTCCCCCTAAAAAACCCCAAAACACCAAAGCCAGCCAACACCACACCTTGCACTCTCTTGTTGGAATGGTTTTTGAATTGTTCCGACTGTGGAAGCTGTCGATGCAGCCCTGGAATTTTTTTCCTATCAAGGCTTCGTCTTCCCAGCTGCACTCTGAATAAGGCAGTCCCATCCACTTGCATAGATATTCAGGTTCATTCGAAGGTGCCGGCTTCCGGCTGTGAGCTAGTTCACATGTAAAAATACACAGGTCATCCACTGTCCATTAAAGGAGGGGAGTGACATTCTGTTTTACATATAATGAATGAAACATCACGTGGCAAAACATGAGCTGTTGGTAAATGCTGAACATTTATAAATAAGATTACTTACCAGGAAAATCTGTTTGACCCAGTGTAGATTTGCTTGTCTTCATAGCTAAACAAATGGAAGATAATAGAGAAAGTTATCACTATAACCAAGGAGTGACACTTTAAGTCCTATGAACAAGAATATTAATACACGGTCTCCCATCTTAAAAAGAAAAAAAACTCTCAGGTCCACATTGCCCTGTTCTCTGTGCCTCTTGACAACATGATGCCCAAGGAGAGCTGTTTTCACTCCCTGTCCACTGCTCCTTCTCCCCAGAAGCTGCCCCAAGCAGGCTGCATCCCCACCACTCCAGGACCTGCCGCCAGTGCCCTACCTCTCGCAAGACACAAGGATCCAGTCCCAGTTGGACCCTGTGGACCAGCAGCATTTCCGCCTTCCTGAGCCACGTGGATCACTTGCCTTCCAGTCTCCCACCCTCCCAGCTCTCCTATCTCACTGGCTGTCTGTTCTCAGTCTCCTTCTGCTGGTTTCTTGCTGACTTCCAAAAGCCAAATGCTCTCGGACTTCCTATTCTCACCATGTGAACTATTTCTGATGATCTCTTTAAACCTCAGGCTTTAAATACGATCTATGTACTGATGCATTCCCACATGTGAATTTCCAGCCCAGACTAGGAGTTCTAAGACCCACACATGCTACAGCCTTCACAATACTCTCCATTTGGTGACTAAGAAGTTCATCAAACCAGGTTCATTTTCCACCCAAACATCAGCTCTTCCAGTTCAGGAAGTGGTGCCTCTATTCTCCTGTTTACTCAGGTCAAATACCTTGGCATCACCCCTGACACCTCTTTCTGTCATTCCCTCACCTCCAAATTTATCAGCACATCTTGTTTGCTTTTCCTTCTAAGTATATCTAGGCATCTATTCCCAAAATTAAATCTATAAAAAAAAGTGTTTTTTTAATTTACATCATTCCCATTATTCGTGGAGCTCACACACTGCTAAAATAAGTCTCTGTGTTCTTACCTATTACCCTTTCTACTATCTGATACTGTTTGTTCAACTCTGAGGCTAGCTCTTGTTGGCAGTTGAAATATTCCACATCTTCAGGAGAAACTTTCCCCAACCTGGACAGAAGACAGAAAAAGCACATCCTCATTAAATTTGGGGTATCTGTACACACTTACCAAAGCGAAGTCAGAGACAGGAAAGGAATCTTGTCTTCACTTCCACCTGCCCCTGCAGTACTCTAACTAGGCCAGAGATTTTACAAAAAACATACACTTTTAGAAAACACCAACCAACTCAGACCCCTCTCTGATGTGGCCTGTTTCCAAAGAAACCTAAAAATAACTACTTTGTGGCAAATTCATGTAATTTCATGGGATAAACTCATGTATCCAAACAGACTGAAACAATATAACTGTCTTCCAGATTTAAAAATATACCATTTTTATTATATAGTGGGCTTTAGGAGTGCTTGAATGTGACATTCTTTGGAAACTATCCTTAGCACCAAAGCTCTTTAAAAGGACAACATTAAATAATACTGTACTTCTGAGAATTTTAAATTTCTATGCCTTATAAGCTACTCTTATTTTAGGAATATTTTTATATTTTGCTCAGAGGGAAAATACGTGACTTAGTGAAGTAGCATATTTTGTACTACAATAAAAGAGAAATTAGAACTCATCTGTCCCTATTCCTAACACAGAATAACCTGATCACGTTACACTGGCAGGTAGGATGACCAGGTATATGGACGCTTCCTGTCCCTCAGGCTGCAAATGTATTTCCTTAAGCCATGATGGGAAATGTACCATTGCTTGATTTCATCCTCTTTCTTCTTGAAGTTCTCGAGTTTTTTTAGGCCCTTCACTTTCTGCTGCTGCAAGGACTCTTCACTCTCCCACGTGCTGTGGATGTAAGACCAACCCTTCCACTTGATGAGGTACTGGACTTCGCCTTCCTCCTTTTCCGGGTCGAAGTCACCACTTGGGTCTCCGTTAGCTTCAACTGCATACACAGTAGTAGATGCTCCAGTGGCTGCGAAAGGATTCAGTTTCAACAAACCTTAAAAAGTATGTGAAAGCAGACACTGAAAAGTTTCCCATGAGCACAACTGTCTAAAGAGTCTCTTTCTGGATAAAGCACCAAAATCCTTCAACTTGAAAGAAGCAGAATTTCACAAATATAGAATAAACAAGGTCAGTAATTTCAAATATTTTCAAAATGAAGATCCGATTTTTATACTTTAAAATATATTCCAATTTGCTAGTGAAACTAAAAAAAAAAAAAAATCCTTGTGCCCAAACACAATAAAAATGGAACAGAAACATCTGTTCATTTTGGTACCTACTAACTCAGAAAGCAAATCCAGACCTCCAGGAATATTAAAAACAAGGCAAGAAAATAAATATCTCTCCACCAATTACCCAAAGTTCTCTGTTAACTCTATTAACCTCAAGTAAGACTAGATTAAAAAAAAAAAGGCAGAGAAAAATGAATTAGGTGTTATCTTGGTATTTCCTATATTGAAAGATTACTTTAAAGAAACTAAGTTATGAGATATCTCAATTTGATTATAAAAAATCTTCACTATCGTTCAAATATGCATTTAATCTACTGCATACTTTTCACAAGATTCAGAAACAAGTAAAGGCATATTTGCTTAATGTTAATGAGCAAGAAGCTCCACTACATCACTGCCGTTTAAGACAGTAACACATCTTTACTAGCTTCAAGTCTCAAAAATGTAAAACACATCCCTCTGGTCTCAGCTCTGAGACATGAAGACGGGGTCAGAAAAACTTCCCCATTTCACAACCAATACAGGCACGGACTGAGTGAAACGCATCACTTCAGAGTTGAAACGTGTAACATTTGGGCCTCACTAAGCAGCTGTAGAGAAGTATTTTGCTTCCCAAAGGCACATACCTCCTTTCTTGCCCAGCCGTGAATCTAAGACCTTTTCGATGGTTTCACTATTATCCTGCTGGTCATCCACTCCTTCGCCAGTCATTTCAATGAGATCGTCGGAGTCAGTCTCGAAGTCATCATCTTCTTTATAACTGCAGGAGGGACAATGCTGAGTGAGGGGAAACTCTCTCTTCAGAATTTAACTCTGCCATATAGAATGTCGTTAGAAAAAGGAACCGTACCACGCTGCCTCCAGTACGCTGTTGTACAGATCGGCCACATATAAAGTAGGCTCCAAGTTCCCTGTTTGTGTATGAGTGCATGTTCATGGGTAACTACAGGAAGGCTAATCCATGTTTCAAAATAAAAATGGACTACATTTACACTGATTTGTGTAAGCAAGATATAAAAAACTTTAAGGACATGCGTATATGTTCTTTTTTAGTGAGATCATTACTATATAATAAGAAAACAACTACACTGAAAATGTAGAACGAATTTTCAAAAAACACTACTCCTGGGCAAAAGACAAGCAACATTTCTAAGATTAAATGTTTTAACCCTGTGTTTTGTCTCCCAATAACCAGGATATGAAATTTAAGTATCTTCAAACTGTTAAGACCTTCAACTAACATACTTCCTTTTAATAAAATGCTCAAACATGACCCTCCACCACATATTAACAACAGGTGTCGTGGGAGTCATACAAGAGAAAAGCACAGTCCTGGACTCGAGGGCAGCTGTGGGAGGAGACACCTCTGCATTAGCAAACTCAGCGTCTAGTCCTGGGTTTGGGATCACTCACTGGATACACTGGACAGGGTACTAATATCTCCAGAACTCAGTTTCAACACCGCTAAGTGGATTAAGAAAACTGCATATTTTCTAAATAAAAATTAAATGCCCTTTAATTCATGTAACATAAAATACTGTTTGCATGAATCTATTCCTTTATTTCAATTTCTGTTAATGCTTCATACCCTATTAGTAAGCTTGATAAAATTATTATACCCAAATACTATATATAAGCTGAACTTCAGAAAAATTTATCTGATCCCCAGAGCAAATCAGAAGCAAGAAAACAACCCAAACATCTTTCCTAAAAAAAGGATGTGATGAAATGAAGATACCTCGACAGAACATGAACTTAAAGCAGCTCTGTTTACAGGAATGAAGGCCTGCAATGAGCCATTGCTACTCTTTCCACATTCCCGTTGGCCAACACCCCTCTTCTGCAAGAACACAGAGCAGATTTCCAAACGCCTATGCAGGACATAGGTAATTATTTTTGCTTAACAGATGCACAATCCTGGGCTTCAAACCAAGTGCAAGCCAAGTAAACTATCGCCCTCACACTACCGAAAACCTTTTGGGGTGTAACCTACCTAACATTTTTAGCCGCTCTGCGACGAGTCTGCCTTTTTGGAGCTTCATCGTCATCATCATCATCATCAGAAGACTCTTGTTTTTTTTTCTTTCCACGCTGAGCTTTAGGTTGCTTTTTAACACGAGGTTTCGGCACTGTTCTAAAATGAGAAGAGAAAAAAAAAAATGGCCACTTTTACTATCATTTGTTTACTTCAAATCTGCATAATTGTATTTCCCAGATCAGGGGTTCACATGTAGGATTAATCAGGGCAAAGTTAGAAATTATATTCCTGGGTCCCATTCTCTGAGATTCTAATTCACTAGAAATCTGCATTTTCAACATGAAAGTGATTCTCGTGCTAACAGTCTTCAGTCATTGATTAGAGATAGAGTGGGTTCTCAGGCAATGGTTCCCCACTGCTCCTCGGGGTCACCTGACATACACATACACAAATTTCACTTCTGGGGACTGATCGTACAGATACACACCAGTACAGGCATATTAAAAGTATGCGCTGGAGTATTGTTTGCAATAACAAAAGATTAGAAAAACTCTTAAGTGTTCATCAACTGGGAACTAGTTCAATAAATAGGATACTATGGAGCCATAAAAAAAGAAAATGAAGGGAGTGTTTCCATGTACTGATATAGAAAGATTTCCAAGGTAATGAAAGAAAAATACACAAGGAGCATGGGATGCACAACCTGTATAAAGGGAGGAAGGATAAGAAATAACTACGCATATATTTTTATGCATAAAATGTATCTGGAAGGCTACCGGGGAGACTGCCCTGCCACAGACCAATGAACAGACCGAGGACACAGTCTTCCAGTGACGCCCGTGCACAGCCAGGACCGGGGGCCATAACGCGGGAGCTCACACATGAAATCCCCAAATTACTACAGTATCAGTGGTAAAAAGGTGACCAAAGAAAAGGGAGACAAAAACTCCCAATCACATCGATCTGTTTCTGTGAGACCTACCAAACCAATGCTACACAGGGGAGTCAAGGTTAAGGGCTCAGTAAATGACGGGGAACGTCTGGAAGACAGAACTGAAGAGCTGACCCATTCCCGAGTGCTCAAACCCAGGTGGAAGGAGACTAAACTCAGCTGCTGATTCCCCTGGGGGTGGGGGTGGGGGGACAGGTATGACGCCCTAAGCCAGGGGTCGGCAGACACTTCCTGTAAATAGCCAGAAGGTCAAGATTTTCTGCTTTCCCAGACAAAAGGCGAAACTGAAGCTACTACACAGCTACTTATGTAGTGAGAGAAAATAAATGTTCACATGTTTTATAGTGACAAAACTCAAAATAAAATAATGAGTTTTTCTTGTGTGTGTTACATATCTACTAATGAGAGTATCATTCTTTCTGAAAAGGCAGTATTGCATTTAATTGGGATTCAAACTGACTGTTTCCAATAGTCACACTGTGAATGTCTCCCTGTAAAAGCAATGCTTAGCTGGCACGCCGCACAAAGTGAGTGGTGAGTGGGATCTGGCCCAAAGGCAAGCACTCGCCAACAGCACCCTATACCCTCCTGCAAGGGGGTCAACTCTCCTGGGGCCTCTCCACCCCCTGCCCACCTTCCCCAACACCAGCACTTTATGTTGTCCTCTGATCAAAAATCACCAGTACCCTGCTGCCTCGGCCTACTTCCTTTCCTGCACAAGTAGATTCTCTGTTTAATATTACACAGACTATATGAACAAGGTAATAAACAGGGAAGTATGCTTTCAACTAGGCAACACACATTTTAAACTTTACAATTAGCTCCCTCAGAAAGAACCTGTACAGTGGTCAAACGCACAGGGAGCGCTTTTTAGAAGATACATTCTTCCCTCAGACCGAATCCTCCATGGAGTGAGAAACAGTAAGTCACTCTGAGCTACACACCGTGCAAACCCCCACAGTCAACACAAGCAGCTCCGTCATCCGGGCACTTGCTAACAATGCAGGCTGGCAAGAAGTGAACCACAGACATTCCGAACCCAGGGCCATAACACACTGCATTCCACCAATCAAGGCTCCCCGGCTAGCACTGCGCCGTCTGCACCTAACGCAAACTGGGTTCCACCAGAAGCAGAGACGGTCAAGCAAACACTGCACCTTCTGGGCACAGGCCTCCTGGCTTTCACTTTTATTTGCTCTGGTTCACTCTCTGCACTGGTGCCTTGTTCCTGTTCATCTTCTGAGGGCTCCCGTTTCCATTTTTCTCTGTGATCAAAGCAAAGCAGAATGATTTTTTTTCCAAAAGAATTCTTCCAGGTTATTTACTTGAAGAATCTGACAACACTAATGTTGATTTAATTATCCAAAAGACAGAACGTGTATATTTTAGTTTTATGCTAAAGAGATTTCTTCTAGCTCCATTGACATTTTGGTTCTGTTCTTTCGTGGACTATGTAATATCTATTCCTCTTTTCTCTCTTGTAACAAAATAAATGAAAATGGAAACTAAGAATGTATGTTTTAAACTATTTATTCTGGAAAAAAGTGCCACTAAATCTCATATTGTTTTGATTACTATCGGTGACCAGATTGGAGCTATAACATATACTCACTCAGTTCTTCTTAGATTTTAGCATCAATCAGAGCCACCTAAAGGGCTTATTAAAACAGATTTCTGAGGCCACAACCAGTTTCTGATTCCGTTGGTCTAATGTGAAGCCTAAATTTTTAATTTTAACAAATTCACAGATGATGCTGATACAGTTAGGGACCTCTTTGAGAACTCTCATACTAGATATTTTAACAGAATACATTTGAGGAAATCATCCCTAAAATTACTTTTTAATGATAAACCTACCACCTACCATCTCAATTATCTATGAGCTGAAGATGTAGTTTTTTGTAGTTTTTAGGAAGGTGTTCCTTTGCTCCTTGAGATCTCAGAAGGTGTGAAAGGGCCATACCCTACAGGTGTCTCAGTCCCCTGGTGTTTGAAGTTTGCTGGAAAACCCAATAAGGTGCCACAGGGACTGAGCGCATTTCTCATCTATGGGGAAGGAGGAACATATAATAGCTAGTGGGCATAAAATCTAAAAAAAATAAAATAAAATAAAACAAAAGGCAAGTATCTTGGTGTTTCTTTGCAAATAAAACAATCACCACTGGGTTTCTTGGTCTTTGAGTAGTAAACGGTTATGCTAAAGACACCTGTTTGCAGAACTGCAGACCTGCAAAGTCAAACCAACCTTGTTCATGGGAGAACAGGTCAAAGTAATAGTGGAAGCTTGTTGCAGGAAGGTGGCTGCTCTGGGGAGCCTGAGAACCTTGTAGGCAGGAGCCTGTAGGTTGGCAACCTACACCTGAATTTGTAGAGACTTTAGGGAAAAAAGTTTTTTTCAAGTCTTCCATGAAAAGGCAGTGAGACACTTTATGTCCATTACTTAGGTTCTAGTGACCCTGTTTCACATCCATGTCCCTAATAGCAGCTCAGTCCCTGTGGGCAGGGCCGTGTTTGTTCATCTTTGTACCAGAGCGCAGGTCAAAGGCAGGCAAAGAGAGATACTCCCTTGTTAAGTGAAGAAATAATTAAAGAGTGAGCCCTGTCAGCCTATCCGTCAGACGGGTAGGGTGCTTTTGGAAGTGTTAGGGACGCACACAAGTTAAGACAGTAAGGCCTATTAGCACTGCCTAATCCTTCAGTCTCTCTAAAACAATGACCTCCTTATGCCTAACGACACTCTGGGCACCTAGCTTATTCTCTTTCCCCAGAGCCTAGACAATACGCATCTGCTAAAGAATCCAAACAGAAGTGATGGCCAGCAAGGAAGCCAGAAAGATGTCTGCAGCAGCGGGGAGATTGGCACACAAAGCTGCAGTGCCCCAGGACCGAGTCCCGCACAGCCGGTGCTGCAGGAGGGGCTCACGCAGTCAGCTGCGGAGGAGACAAGCTTGAGAGAACACGAACAACTGATACTAAGGGACAGTAGATCCGATGAGAAAGATCCTCCCCTTAAGTACTAGTGGAGATACATGTAACCCTGCCAGGTACTGAGAACCTCAGTGAGGGCCTACGTCTTCCCTTCAGGAGGCTAACAGGGTGGGGACGCTGGGAGAAGGGACGCTGTGGCTGGAGCTTGCCAGTTCCCCTGCGGATGTATGGACTTTCAGACAACAGGAGGACTGAGAACCTCCCCATACGAGAATGTACAAAAACTCAGCAAACACCTCCTCCTAGAGAAGGAAACTAAAGCCCCGTGAAAACAAGTGGTTTGGCCACGTGTCCAAGCTCTGGCCCTGAGATTCTCAACCCTGAAAACCAAAGAATCAAGGAAAACTACAGCCAGGCTTACATATTCTGGGGGGATCTGAACAACAATCGGAGGCCTGATGCATTTTGTATATGTGTGTGTTTGACATTGACTGAATTATTTTAAATTTTGTTTTGATTTTCAAAACCGGGGGAAAAAGTAAAGGTCAGCAATATCACGTTACTTTGTACGTGCGGTGAGAAGAGTGATCGGTTAGTGGCGGGAGACTGCCTCCCAACCCTGCAGCTATGTGGTGCAGGAACATTACGCCGTGTACTTTCAGCTTTCAAAATGCTAATTCACATTATGACTTTGGGGAGGTAGGCCCCTGGAAGGCTGTACTCTTCAAAAATGTCCATGTTGTAAAAGCAATGAGAGCCCGTGAACAAGCTCTAGGTGAAAGAGACCTGACAACCGAGAGAGTATCTGACCCCAGACTGGCTCCTGTAGTGGAGATGGAAAAATGCCAGGGAAGCCATCATGTCCACGGGCAGACACGGGAGTATGAACTGGACAGAAGTATGTCAGCAGTGCTGAATCTACTTATGACAAAACCACACGGGGCGTGTGAAAGAGAATCTCCTTCATTCTCAGGATACACACACTTAGGTGTTTCAGGGTAAAAAGGCCCCATGATGGATACATGTATGTCTTCAACTAGCCAGAAGAAATCCTATGTGTGGGTATATATAAAATGAACAGCCACAATAAAGAAAATGGGGCAAAAATGATAACCAATGGTAACGCTGGTTAAAGCACACATTCTTCGTGCTTCTATTCTTGCAACTTTTAGAAAATTGGAATTCCCCCCCCAAAAAGTTAAAAAAAACTGCTCCTTCTAAAAATCTTTAAAATCTGCAGTAGTCTGCAGGGTTTCAGAACACCACTTCCCTGTGATGACATTGTGAAATTCCCCCTCCTCCCTTGAGTGAGTCTCTCTCACATCTCAAGCTCACGTGCGCACAGGCTGGGTTTGGTCCCACTTGCTCCAATCACAGAGGGTGCCTTTAGCTCCCTGCCTCCCAACCTGAGTCTCAGCAGCTGGCTATGGGACCTCCTCCAAGTAATCTTACTAGTTAAACTCACACAGCAGAGGCGCTCCCCTAAGTCCAGCTACCCAGAGGCTGGCTGGAAGCAAGGCTAGCTCAGTGCCCAAACACACAAGCTACCAGTGAGTTCCTAGGGAGCCTCAGGCCACGGAAGCAGCGTGACAGAAGACACACACCCCTGTACAAGAACAAAGGGGTTCTACTTTAGGGAAAGAGAGGTCCATGAAGGTCTCTGAAAGCTGCCAGCGTGGACAGCTCTGAGGATGGACAGGAGAGGGAAAATAAATGCAGGAGCCGGTCCAAAGGGAAAGCCCGATGACATGGCCAAGGGCTGAGAAAGTGCAGGCTTCTGCACACCTGGATGAGGCCATAAAGATGGGCAGCAGAGGATTTCAAGCGCAGCACCCCCGGATCCCAGTCGAAAGCCCAGCAGGACGCAGTAAGAGGTGGAGGAAAGAGCACAGTCATGCACTTCTCAAGGCTACCAGAGGCCACTTAGCCTGCCTGGTAAGCTGAGAATACCATCTCCTCAGTAGGCCATGCAACAGAGGTAGAAAAACAGCCTTTCAAGATACCAAGAAGAGCAGGCTCGCCTACAGCTATTATTTTTCCAACTCTAAATATTTAGAACAGAAAGAAAAACTGTGTGTTCTGGGAGCAGGTCACCACCATTAAAGACCAGACTCAGCATACTTTCTGATATTCCTGTTAGGTCAGCAGAATAGGCGGTACTCCACTTTGGAAATGAGGAAACAGATTTCGAAAACTCCAATCACTTTGCCTTAGGCCAAATACTTAAGATTACTAATATTTCAGAACAGAGAATATAACTGGGGCTCTCACTAGGGCTCTGAGAACTTCTCTCGGTTTACCAGGAGAAGCCCCTAAGTCTGTGTGTGAAGTTTTTTTGAGTGTCCACATTTTTCTTTCTTTCTTCCTTCTTTGAAATGACGCTACACATTTTTCTGAGGAGATGGGCTACAGAATTCAGACTTTCAAAGGCATCCCCACAACTACTCCAAAAGGGATTTTTAAAACTATTTCTCAAAAAAAATTAAATCCATTTTCACCATAAATAGAATTATTAAAATAAATGTTAAAATAATGAATTATAATGTTATAAAAGAATTTCAAAGTCCAAGAATTAAAATGTCCTGGCTTACAACTGTAATATTAAAATTACATGGAAACAAGGTGAATTTTCATATTAAAATGGGTGTCCCCAACCAATACAATTTTGCCAACACAAAAAACAAGTGGAAGTGAAAACCAGAAAACCTAAATTTGTTCCATGTTTGACTAGAATAGAATATTAAGTACATATATATTTGGTATTTGTGTACATTTTTATGAAAAAAAAAAAAAAAGTAATAATTGGGCTAATGGGGCCAACCAGATGGAGTAAGCTGGGTTCTGCCCCCAAGCAGGAGCCCACGCACATGTGAAATGCTGACTTACACATGTGGACACCTGAGAATCTTGGGCTGTGAGTGCTGCTGCCACAGCAGGGCAAGCTGGACAGTGACCCAGGATGGCTGGACAGCGACCCAGGATAGTAAGATAGGGAAATGGACTCTGGGACCCAGGGTATGATGAAGGCACAACCAAGCATTCCCAGAAATACTGACACGTTACAAACTACTAGGTTTTGTCGTATCCCCCAGGAAAGACTTACTGTTTTTTCAGCTGCCTCTGGCCTCTTCTCTTTGGGCTCCCACTCTCAGACCCGCTACTGGCCTTCAGTGTGTGAGGGGGAAAGAATGAGTACAGACTTTAGTTCACAGTTGTTACGGTCAACACTACCCCTGGTTCAACAGTCTACTTAGTACAACGGCATTCAACAGGAGCTTTCAGACAGAGAAACCTCAGCATCTGTGTGGTGGTGCTCCCTCTCCTTTTGCTTTGAAAGCTGATTTGTGTCATTACTAATGCCAGGAAACACTTCTCTCAGCCTGACTCCTCTACGAGCACAGTGCAGTGAAATGCTCTGGGGCGACGGCAATGCTCTGCGTCTGCGCTGTCCGTCTCAAATATCATAGCCCGCAGTCACATGTCATTCCTGCGGCCCCGAAATGTGGTTAGGGTGACTAAGGAATGGAATTTTTCATTTTAGTCGATTTTAATCCATCTAAAAAGTCACATGTCTAGGGCAACCATGCTAGGTACTGCAGATCTACCATGCCATGCAAAAATGCCGCATCCAGCGTGCACTGGAGGTGGTGACCACTGATCTTCTTCATTTTAGACTCACTGAAGAGCATGTTCAGTCATGAAGCGACCAGGCTCTGCTGGCAGCTCTTGGCCAAGGGAAGTACACGGTCAGAGACATCTTTGAACAGCTCTTTTTCTCCAAAAGCAAGTAAAACGGCAGACTACCCCTCCCTATTGCTCTCAGTCTTGTGCCCTACAGAGAGCATGTTCATTTATATGTGAGAGAAAAAAACATTTACACAACTACGTGGTTGGTTATAACAAGTGTGGCTCAGGAACCTAGTCCTAGACGCTACGGAAGAAAGAATGCTAAGGCAAACCAGCTCAGGCCACTCAAAATAAAATACCATAAATGCAATGCAGATTTACAGTCAAACAGATTTTTAAAGTAAAAACCCACCCCCAATTCACTAACGTTTGGTTATTAACATTTAGCTTTCAGCAGAAGGATGTTATATAGTTAAGAAGGGCAATGAGAAGGGACATTTCACCGAGAGACAAAAAAGCATCTCTTTAAGATGTAATCTATAAAGCTAGTATAGGGTTAAGAATCCACAAAAATATCACACAAACTGAAAAAGGTCTGCATCTCCAAAAACAACAGAACCCAATACTAATTTCTACAATCACCAATGTCTCACAATTAGATCAGAGTAAATATTTTATCAGAGTGAAACATTTTACAGTGCACACTGAAAATGAACTACTAAACTGCATTTAAAGAAGATGACAAACATTACTGATGTCAAGCAAACCCTCCTTCCTTTCTCAGAAATAAACCTGAAACTACTTCCACTGTTATATTTGTTTACCAGGCAAGTGACTCATTGAACAAAAATCTAGGAGATTTAGAAATTAGGCATTTCAAAACGTAAACATCTTGCTATAGTCAATTTCTCACTGTGAGAAATGCAGAGAGGAAGAAAACAGAAAGGGAGGCTGGTTCTGTGCAATGCTCACAGCACTGCACTGAGGCATGCACGTGACATGCACTTTCTGCGAAGTTTCTTTTTTTTAAAAGAGCCACTTAATTCCCATCCTGAAGTTGAGTCTTGTTAATGGCCATACACACCAGAGTCGAAAAGGATGAGGTAAGGCCAGGAGTTTCAGTACATCCCTGTAAACCCTTTCTTTTCCTTACCTCCTCCTTAATGTTAAATCGTGATGGTTCTTGTCGGCTTCGGTTTGACCGCCTCACCCCGTAAACATCAGGATATTCTTCCCACATCTGTAAAATTAACAGACCATGCATGGATCTTTTTTCTTGGTCCTCCATTTACTATGTTCATTGCTGGAACACGTATTTTAATTTAAGAGTATTCAGGTAACAGAATATCAAGAGGGTTGTTTTGTTAGTTTTATGAGACAGTAAGCAGCCATCTTTAAAAAGAATAAGACATATCATCCTAGACCACATTAATGTTTACCAATGCCTCCGCATTACTAATGGCTATTAAACTATATGGTACACTGCTTACACATCATTAAATATACATAAACTTACAGATAAATAAAATGGCAAGAGAACACTTGCTTCTAACTAAAGACAAAGTATTTCCTGCTGTTTAAGTCCCTCATGCTTTCCATTTCAACTTTCACTGCATACTGACCTATGTAAGACACTCAAAAAACAAGCTGGGCCCAACCAAGTCTGATTAAATAAGAATCAGGGCATTTATATAATTCCTCAGGACGGGTAACATGCCAGGTACGTATGAGTTAGGTATTTCTAACACTTAAATTAGAAATTCTCAGAATGAGAATTCACTGCCACCTTTTTCCAGCACACGTGATTTTAGTTTCTTAGCAGTTCAGGAGCCCTTTGCCTCCAAGCACTATTTTTAGTAAAAATCCTGACTAGTGATCAAAAAAATAAAGTTTAAAGGAGGAATTAGTTGAAGAGAAAATTTTTCTCACAATATATTTTAGCACCATCTTATACAAAGACTCACGCCAACAAATGCATAGTACAAACATTCAAGGTCCCTCCTTCCTCAGCCTCTACAGGGTCTACCCACAATCCCACGCTCCAACAGCTAAGTACATTGTATTCTTTTAATAAAATCAATTGCTCATACGCAGAATGCATCCCAATGCACTGTGGAATAGCGACTTGAAAGTGTTTACCAGAGTTAAAAGTGTAAGAGCTGCTTGAGAGCCAAAATTAGAAATGGGGTTTATCATTAAAACACTAGCGAAAGCTTATGTCACAAAAATATGTGACGGCAGGAGGAGAGTGCCACTGGCTAAGGCTCATGAAATATGTGTCAAGTGGCCCACAAAAGAAAAACTTGATGGAACACAACCCGGAAAAAAAAAAAAAATGTCATCAAGCCAAGGGAACACTTGATCAAGTGACTTAAAAAAAAAACAAAAAACAAACAAACCCTCAGCAAGCTACAGAAAAACAAAGGCTCCATAAAAACAAGCGAGATGTTCCAGGAAGAAGCATTTTAGAACTAGAATCTGAGCTAATCATGTAACCCGGGGTCTTTGGTTTTTGAAGGTGAAGACTGTATAATGGCCTCAGACTCCTCTGAGAGTCAGAAGACAAAAGGTCCAACCACGGGAGTCAGGAAGAACCAGGAGGTGGGAAATCTAGGCTGAGGAGGCAGCAGTGCAGAACATGGGCCAAACCCGGCAGAGGAAGGAAGGAAATGAACAGCTCTACTCCGGTCCCGTCCACCAACGCCCACCCCACCCCTCTCTGAACCTCGGCTGGAATAGGACATTAGTCCACACAGGTACTGATGGGGCTCTCACTAATGGGGGTGGCGGCTGACATTTACTGTCCCTGCCCCAACTAGCCTTACCATTTAAAAGTATCAGGCATTCAGACTCCACTGCTGAGACGTTAATTACAGTACATATTTTAACTCACACATCCTGAAACCATCTTAGTCCTTTTGAGGGCTCACGATATCTAATTCAACTCTTCAATGAAAAAGCTATGGTGTGGAAGGAACATGCACGAAGAAAACAAAGAACCTTCTTTAGAAGCTCTCCTTTCAGAGTAACAATCATTAAAGTCACAATCCAATCTTTCTGTCTGGTGTGTCCACCCATGTGTTAGGTGTATTAATTTTTTAGAACTGATCACCTTAACTTTAAAAGTATTATTTTAATATTTCTGCCTGAAGCTATATTTCTAGGTTGAAATTCGGTTCAATAGAATCTCTTCTTTCTTAGTTCCCCTTTATCTTCATAAAAGGCAAGGTCTTACAGTTAACAGCTGAGAATGCTGGACAGTAAACGTGACACACACTGGTCTCCTTTCCTCTGTACAAATAAAGAACTGTGCGCAGCAGGAGTTACATCCAGACTCATTTTTGTCCCTACACTGCATCAAAACTGTGCTGTGGCCCTTGGAAGAGGGCGCCTGGTCTAGACGTCCACAGGAAAGCAAGTTGAGGCGTGAGGCCCTAAAGGTGGCTCAGGGCAGCCTTCCACTGCAAGCCTGGGAGGTAAGTCTCTGCATTTAATGACACTCTCAGAGCAAGATTTCTCAGTGGCACTCTCGCATGCAGGTCTTTTTGAATGGATCCAGTCACCACCTGAACTGCCCCCTGTGAAAGGCCCACCCTACACAGCAGCAGGAACAAGGCAAGTACTGGAGGGTCCGATGGTCACTTCTCTGATGATAAGTTAGTTAGCAAGGACAACTTTCACTTTCCCACTGTTAACACAGCCCCCAGCATTCCCTGACCTCCCACCATCTCCTAAGGGTCACTTGCCATTAGCAATGGGTACACTGGGAACAGAACTGAAGCATCATGGTTAATTCCAATTTTGCTCCAGTTCAAGGCAATTTTATTTTCTTAATTTTAGGTTTCTGAAGCTATTCTGCAGTACCTGCAGGTAACTTGAAATCACTTGTACTACTACGAAAATCTAACTGCGGAACAGCAACTGGTATCTTAGAAGGACAAAAACTGATTTAGCATAAAGCTTTTATTTTCATTATTTTATTTTTAAATTTCTAAAGGCAGTATTCTTATGTGAATCACTAAAAATACCTAAGTGTCTCAAAATGATATTTTCAAAGATCAGCTGCATTCCTATGATTAATTAGACCAAGTCATTAAATTTTCCCCAAAACAAATGCATCTTAAAGTACGAGCATCAAAAGCAAAGTGCTGTGTGACTCAATTTACGTCTTTACATTCTTTGCTTGAAGACTCTTCTCTGCTGAGCGAAGAACACTACCTACACTGCCCAGGTACAGGTAACTCTTCCTCTGTGAGAAGTGTTTCTCTTCCATTGTTCAGAAAACAAAAAGGGCCCTGATTTGTGGATTGTGATTACCCTGTCACATTGCTTTACAACTGCTTTTCAGTCACCTGTCAATGATGCTCCGGTATTTTTAGGTATGGTGTAGATTTTTTTTTTCCAATCTAACCACCTTTTTCAAATGTTAAAAACTGAAACTACATAAATTTGTCCATTGCCCTAGAATTTCACAGTTTACGTAATTATTTCCTTTATAGCTGATGATCAGCTAGTAGAGCAGAAAGCAGTGCCTAGAAAAGGTGGCTGCAGTCTTCTCTATCAAGACACCTAACGAGTTTCCCTTGGGAAATAAAGGCCTGCCAGCTGGCCCCAGCCGGCAGGCAATGTGCACGGTTACGGCGAAGGAGCGGTACCTTCTTCACATCAGCTATCCGCTCCTTCTTGGAGGCTGGCTTCTCTTTGGCTTCCGGAAGGACTGGCTGGGACTTGGAACCCGCGGACTCGCTCTCGGATTCCGACTGGCTCTCGGAAGACTCGGAACTGCTGTTTGACTCGCTGCCATGTCCGCTTCCCGGGTCGCTGCCCTGCTCACTCTCCGACTGGCTGCCCGAGTCCGAACCTGAAGCTTCTTCGGACGCCGAATGACTTGATTAAAAAAAAAAAAAGTTTAATAACTGCCATATAAATCTGCTTTAAAAAAATCCAAGCAGTAAAATAACAGTAGATACTAATTTCAGTAATATACGATCAAAATTTCTAAATTTACTTTTATATTCTTATATTGCAAATATCATTACTACTAATCTCAACACCCCTATTTGCTACCATTTCCTGAGTGCCTATATGAAGCCATGTACCAGCTAATTTATATAGATTCACTCCCTTATAAAAACTCGGAAGGGGAATATTATTTTCTGCTTTATTCCAATGAAAAAATATCTGAAGCTCAGGAGTACTTAAGTAACTCTCCCAGGTGACACAGGGAGGATTTGAAACCAGTTCCATCTGTCTGAATCCACCAGGTTTACTTGTTTAGTACCATCCCTTCCTCCTTGACAAAACAACAAAACAAACAAACCCCAACACAGAACACAACGAAAGCAAGGCAGGGTTCCCCAAACAGTAAGACTGCAATCTCTCTGTGGTTTTCCAGTGTTCTCAATAATAGGTGCTAATCAGACTCGTCTGGGCAGCTCCGTAAAAACACACACATGAACCCCAACCCAGAGGTGCTACCTGGGAATCTCCTGCAGTTGAGTCCCAGACCTGGAAGATCTAACAGAACAAAGTAAACAAAAAGAACACTCTGATTCTAAGGAGAAGGCCACCTAATCCAGTGCAGACAGCTCCTGGCTACCACAATCCCTGCCCCTTCCTCATTCCCAGTACCCCTCCCAGGGAGGCAACCTAAGCAGGTGACAGCAGAAGCCATAGAACAGGAGCAGAAGTCTATTGGGAGATCACCAGCCTTGAGGAGTAGAAGGCAATATACCCTCCTGGTGTTCCAACCAGCAGGAAGCATGCCAGGAACACGCTGGCAGGAGTAAAGACACTTTAAGAGAAAGGACCTACAGGGAGTAGACATGTCAGAGGAAGCGGTGGAGGTGGACAGCTCACTCAGCTCTGCTGCTTAAAAACGACCTTTTCAGCCCTGACTAGTGTAGCTCAGTGGGTAGGGCGTCCTCCGGCAAACCGAAAGGATACGTGTTTGATTCCCGGTCAGGGTACGTGCCTGGGTTGCAGGCTAGGTCCCAGTCGGAGGTGTGTAAGACAGCCGATCATTGTTTCTCTCTTCTCTTTCTCCCTCCCTTCCCCTATCTCTAAAAATAAATAAGCAACATCTTTAAAAACATTTTCTAAAAAAAAATCTACCTTTTCATTTTGGTGAGAAGGAAGTGGGGCAGAACCCAGAGTAACATTAACTTAACAGAAAGGTCCCTGAGTTTAATAACCAGGAGATAAGACACACGACATGAAAGCCCAAAAACTCTAGAAGGGAGGCTAACTAGGACTGACACAAAAGTCCTGTGTGAGCCTCAGTAAGCACAATGAGCACGGGGGCGTTGTGTGAAGACGAGGAAGCAATGACAATAAACGGGGAAGGTTAGTCTGTGCCTTGGGAAAGGGAGACGGAATCATTTCACAAGCACCATGTATCACTCTAAGTGCTTTATATGTATCCTTCTGCTTCTTCCCCAGAACAACCCTCTTAGGCATTACTATTCCCATACAAAACAAGAAAAACTGAGAGGTTTTAAGTACCATGATTAATCATATAACCCAAAAGTGTGCAGGGTGGGAGGGCGGCAGGAATTCCTCCCCAAGTCTCGCTCTGAAGAGCGCACTCTACTTTACAAGAGGGGTGCAAAACCTTAGAGACTCAGAAAGTAAACTTTTCCCTCTCATGCCAAGTCACAAACCAGTCAGTCAGACACCCGGTACCAGTCACTCAGTATTGTCAGGGCCTCGTCACACTTACTGACTCCCTGATCCTCCCCCAGGTGTCCAGCCTGCAGCCCAGGATGGCTGTGAATGCGGCCCCACACAAAATCGTAAATTTACATAAAACACGATGAGATTTTTTGTGTGTGTGATTACGTGTTGCAATGTATTTCATGTGAGGCCGGAGACTTCTCTTCTTCCTCCAGTGTGGCCCAGAGACGCCAAAAGGTTGGACCCCTCTGCCTACGGTGACTAGTCGCTCCTCCACCTGTGACCAGTGAGAAGGCATCACCACGCAGAGAGGAGAGACAGGAAGGCTGAATAGCCTAGTTAGAAAGCGAAGGTTCCAGAGTCCATGGCTTGGGTCTCTGTCCTAGCTCACCTCAGACCTGTGCCATCTTTTAACCTGTGCCATCCTCTGGGCCATTCAATACAGTCATGAGCAAGAAATGACAGCTATGAGCAAGAAAAGCACCATTCTACAAATGCCAAACTCTTACCCAAACATGAGAAATTTCAGAATCTCACATCCAAGCTCCGCCTCCCGTCCTAACACAAAGTTCTTCCCAGCAAGCTCCCATGGGTGAGTCAGTGCCCACGCAATCTGTGGCACTGGCTGGAATTTATTAACAGCTGGAGCTCCGCCAAGTGCTCACAGAAAGGTACTGAGGCAGCTCCAAGCATGTGCTTGTGAGTAAGGGATTTAAAAAGGGCAGTCTATTAGAAACCCCAGTAGCCCAATGGATAAGGCACTGGCCCCCTAAAAAGGGCAGTGTATCTGAAAGGAGTGTCATTCATCACTTATCCACTCCTCTGCTCCAGCGACAACACTGAACCACTTGCACTCCTGCCTCCACTCCTGGCTTCAGCACCAAGCTAAGTACCTCTGATTCTTGAAGCTTCTGGTATCACCTTCTCTAGGAAAACACCCTTTGTGCTCTCCGGTCCGAAGCTCAGTGCCTACTAGGCACTCCCACGATACCTTATCTTAGCATCTCTGCCACAGCAGTTATTACCCCCGGGAACTGAGAACAGGCAGCACCTGAGCTTCAACCCCCACACTCCAAAGGCTCTCACTTTTTAACACATCCTAGAGCAAAAGATATTTGTTTAAAAAACAATAAACATCTCCACATTTAAGGCACTGATTGTCTAACTATTCCCTCAAAGGACAGGATATTTCCTGAAATATTATGCAGCTTTGCTATTAATGCCTGATTATAATACCAAACACCAGTAATGCTAAATTGTAGTTTGCAATGCTGATTCAGAGGAGATGATGAGAAAAATCCACAAGACTGACAAGTAGGGTCGAAGTTCAGTTGATGAGAAATCCTTTAACTAAGCTTTCACCTAAACAATAACCTAGTAAAATTACCTGATTTCCAGTGGTATGAATAGTTACAAGGCAATTAAAACTAGAATTTTCATAAATTATCCACCATACATACAGAATCCTCATGAAAAACAAGTATCTGAACCTGAACCTAATATAATACTGAATGTAAATTGTAATTGAAAAAGAAAGTTTAGAAAAGGAAAATCAGTATCTGAAACTTACTCAAAATGTAAATTAGAAACAAATTTCTTAATTTTTGACTGAACAATCCATACAAGGGAAATACAACACAAAAATAAATGAAAGCAACTCAAGTCAAAACTGAGCTTTTCGATCCCCATAGAAGAAAGAACGCTTATGGAAAATGTTTAACACTATTCACTTGTGGATAAAAAGAGTTTGGTATGTCTTCAAAATCCTTTTTGAGGCTGGCAAAATGGAGCGGTGAAGTGTTTCTTACAAATGGACTTTGAAATCAAGCGGCATCAATGGCTATTGTTCCAACTTTTTCAGCTCCATTTCCCAAACGGCCAGAAGAGGGCAGCACGGCAACATCCGCTGAAAAGTGCAAGCCTGCGGTTCTCGGCCCAAGAGCTGCCATTTCAGCACTTAGTGTTTATTTTCCTAAACTTAACAAAATGGCTGAACTGCTGGCAGAGCAAGTTTTTGTTGTTGCTAGTGGTGGTGGTCAAAGCAAAATCTGGTAAAAACACAGAGCAATCTATGCTGAGATTCCATAAAACTGATTTCCAGAGTAAGCTCTATCCCTGATACACAGCTAGTGTTTTCGGAGCACTCATGTGGCAGACATACGCAAAAATTCTTCTGTAACCCTTACATAACCAGGAAGAGGAATCATCCTCCTTTGACAGAAGAGACTTAGCCCAGGTGTGTGCGTGTGATGCCACCATCCCCGCCCCCAATCTGGAACCTCTAAGTGGCACGGCTGCCCCACCACAGCAGTCACCCTTCAGTTCAGCAGATGACTGCTACGCTGCCCCAGGCCGCTGCCCCAGGCCGAGGCAACGCACTGCCTTCCAGGTACCTCCATGTCAAAGATCCTTAAGACCTCCTCCAACCTCTGGCTCTAGGCCCATGATTCTCAAGACTAAGCTACCTACATCATAAACAAGGTGAAAAGGCAAGCAACAGAGAAAAGAAATATCAATGTATTACATAACACAACAAAAAATGTATACATGCAACAGATGAAGAATTCCACATCAAAGGGAAAAACAACAGAGAACTGAGCAAAGGAAACAGACATGCAGCTATACAGAACAAGAACTGAAATGGCCAATAAATTTATAAAAAGGTAATTAAACCTCACCCGTAACTTGGGGTGTATATGACAACAGATTATTTTACATTCATTTACTTTGCAGAAATTTTGAAAGTCTAATAATATTAAATGATGGTAAGAAAGTAGGGAAAATAGCCCTGGCTGGTGTGGCTCAGTGGATTGAGCACCAGCCTGAGAATCAATGGGTCACAGGTTCGATTCCCAGTCAGGGCACATGCCTGAATTGTGGACCAGGTCCCTAGGGCCAGGCATGTGAGAGACAACCACACACTGATGTTTCTTCTCCCTCTCTTTCTAAACCCTCCCTCCTTCCCTTCTGTCTGAAAGTAAATAATATATTTTAAAAAAAGAAAGTAAGGGAAATAATACTCATATACCATTATTGAAAAAGTAATCAGTAGAAGCTTTGGAAAGCACCATGACATTATTCGGTAAACCTCAAAATATCCATATGTATCATGCAGCTGAGCTTGCGGGTGGGTATGTAACCTAGACAAATTGGCAACCTTGTGCAGAAGGTGGGATATATAAAGTTGTGCAGAAGGTGGGATATATAAAGTT